CCGTGGAGTTCGCTGTAAAACAACTTTTTGATTTATGTTATGATTTCCTCGCTCTGTTATTCTCAGTTTTATTAGCATGAAAAGGTTGAAATTCAACAGATATAACACAATTTTGTTATTAAAAAGGAATATATCATCGAAAGAGTATGATGGAAAAACAGATTATAGTTCTTTTAAATACATGTATGCTGCGGATAATTACGGTTTTGTATCTAAATAATTGACAATCTTAGCGTAACACTTACGTTTATAATTTTTTTTTAAATATCATCTTCAGTTTTAATTCTTTTTATTTCACAATCGGTATCAGAATAATTGTCTCTGTGCCTAGAATCATAATTTTTAATTTGTTATATGCTTGGGTTAAATTTGAAGTTTTGTAAAAATAATTGATCATCAAAATCTGTCACTGTACGTTGTGTATAGTTTCCTGTTAGCTGACCGGGGACTGGTGGGTACACCTAATTAAGGTCTATTGTCTAACCAATCAATATACTGTACACTGTTTATTTTACCCTGCTTCCCAATGTGTATAAATCTGGTCGAATGTCATGTTTAATCTGATCAACTGTTCTGATGAAAATCGATTTTGAAATAACAACCCTTGAAGACCGACTATATTTTGATAATTCTTACTTCTGCATTATTTTAAAAGGTAAAAAAAAATAATGGCATTTAACCACGGATTAATTCAAATTATTCATGATAGAATTCAATGATTGGCAATATAAACTATACCTATATATTATTTTTTTTATATCTTAAACATTTCTCTACCTAAAGAAAAATCAAGAGACTTAGAGATAATATTATATCTTTTTTTCAAAAGAAAATGACTCTATATTACAATATTTCCTATGAATTTGGCAGCGGAACGTGGCTCTCCATACGCATTGACAAAGATGTTAGGAACAGCGAGACAAAATTATGAATTGAATAAGATTTTGCGTAAATGATATTGAAACAACTTTAAACTTAGCAAGACTTAGTTAGTTTAAAGACTTGATAACGGATGCGTTAAGGTGGTTTAATTAAGTTTAGACATTAAGTCACCATTAAGCTGCAGCTTAAAGGTGGCGTAATGGTGGCTTAAAGGAATTAACTTCTATAAACCATGCACCATTAAGCTACCATTAAGCCACCATTAAGCGATTGCTTAAAGATGGTCTTTCGTCTTGTGGTAAAGGTGATGTCAAAATTAATAAAAGATCATTAAAGTTTTACATGTGCAAATAAAGAGAAAATTGATTAAAAACCCTTTTTCTGAAGCAAAACAGGGCTATGATTATTCATATTTATATTTATGGAAACATCCTTAGGTAAAGTAGAATCAAGTTGTTTTTTTTAAATGGAAATGGACGTGGCCACAAAAAGACAAAGAAGTTTTATATGGAAAAAGAAAAATATGTTCTAAAAGCTTCCAGAAGAACAACGGGGGCATGATTAGTCATATTGATATGCAAGCATCTTCAGGTAATATAAATTCAAGTTATTTTCAAATAACGGCTTCATGGGGTTGGGTGGGGAAATAGGGTGGAGCTACAAATTTAAGGAGATCAGTGTTTTACAGGGGAATATGTTGGAAGAAGTCTTTTTCAAGAGTAGCAAGGCCACACTAAATCATAATATTATACTTTCATGTAAATTAGTTGAATCTGATTCGTCTAGAAACATTTGTTAAAAAACACTATTACCCGCTGAATAATGAAGCCACGCCCTCCAGCATAGCAACAGTTGACATTGCTTGACGACGGGTGATATTCTAAAAAAATAGTGATTGCGCAGAATTTTTGCGCGCAAGGTTCACTGTTATATGTATTTGTATAAAACATTCAGTATAATATAATGAATATTGCATGTAGTTGAGTGTAACATTGAACATTTTCACCCCTCGAAGTGATGACATCAGAGTGTTGACAATGGGCCTCGCATCTCTGGTGAAGTTGAAATTTATACTCTGGAAAAACAATAATGAATCACTTAGGTGACCTATTGCTATCCGTTTTCGACCGTCGTTTGAACATTTTCAGCTTCTTCTTTGCAACCGCTGAACCAATTTTAACCAATTTAGGCATAGAACATTTACAAGTAAAGGGGAACAAAAAATATAAATTTCATGATCTCTGCCCCTGGGGCCTTAGGAATGGGGCCAAAACCATCAAAATGAGTGCAATCTTTAAAAATCTTCTTCTTTACTCCTGGACATCAATCAGTTAAACTGTTGGCATGATTGAAATAAGCATTGAGCCCTCTATTAAAATTGTGAAATTCATGGCCGCAGTGTCAGGGGTTCTGGTGTTAGGGTGGGGCTCTAATTGATCATATAGGGAAAATGCATTAATTCTTTGAAAATCTTCTTTTCTCCCTTGTATATAAAGCAGATAAACTAGGTGCATGGTAATTAAGAATGATCAAGGATGCCTCTTCCAAAATTGTGAAATTTGTGGCCCCAGGGTGAGGGGTTCTGCAGGATTGGGGGGTGGGCTTTATTGATTATAAAGTGAAAATGCATTAATTCTTTGAAAATCTTCTTATCTGCTACTAGGTATAAAGCAGATAAACCAAGCATATAGTTAATATTGAGCAAGAATGTCTCTTCCAAAATTGTTAAATTTGTGACCCTAGGGTCATTACTATTTTTTTTTTCAAATCTTCTTCTCTGTCCCTGGGTATTTAACAGAAAAACTAATTGCATGGTTATATGAGCAATTAAGGATGTCATTTCAAAAAGTTTAAAATCCATAACCCTGGGGTCAGGGGTTTTGGAGTTAGGGTGAGGTTCTTTTGAATATATAGTAGAAATGCATTATTTCTTTGAAAAGCTTCTTCTCTGCCCATTGTTATTAAGGAAACATACTAAGTGCATGGTTATGATGAGCAAGGGTACCTCTTCCAAAATTTTGAATACCTTGGCTCCTGGGTCAGGAGCTCTAGTATTAAGGTGGGACTATATTGAATCTATAGTGAAAATGGATTTATATTTCTTTGAAAATCTTCTTCTTCTTTTCTGCTCCTGGGTATCTAGGAGGCAAACAGGGTATATAACGTTGCAATATGCAAGGGTTTTTACCAGATTTTGAAATTCTGTACCTTTAGTCAATTTATTAAATTCTACTGAAAGAAGTTATTCTCCTTTGCTATTCACCTATGATCATTATGATAATTAATCAATGTATATGTAAATAATGTAATTGAAAAGGTCAATTGAATAATAGAATTATACAAGAATTTTTATAATATTTAGTATACAAAAAGTACTTTCATAGTTTTTAATGGTCAGTTAGCCTTTTAAATAATAGATAAATGAAAATGGGACAAAAATACCATATAATTGTACATTAATTAATCTTCAAAGATCAAGAGAGGACAATGTGAGGGGGAGTGAAATCTTTTAACTAACAGTGCTCCAGAACTATTGTTTTGATTTGTCTACATTGGGATAGTGACAAATGGGGGAAAGTACAGGCAGATAAAAAGATCAGATTTTTTAACTTAGTATACTAATTAAAATCAATATTTTGCTGATCCCTGGTCATCCTATTTCTCTTGCTTTTGGGCAACATAGCTTCATTTATCAGCTTATTTTGTTTTTATCATTATACTCGGGTGACCGTTAAGGCCCTTGGGCCTCTTGATTGCGATATCGTATTTTTACGCGTCATCGGTCAAATTGGCCATAGTGGGAGAGGAGGGGTTTTCTTTGGTCGCAATATTATTTTAACAGATCAAGTCAAGGTCAGGACATACAGCTAATTAAAAAATACAGATAATGAACAAGATATCGGTTTATACATCATAAGAATAAGAGATACATGTACGTACAGTGTATGGACTGAACCTAATGAAAATATTTCATTGAAAGCAAGAGTGCGCAGATTTTATTAACATTAATTAACTGATTAAGGAACTTGGATAGGATTATATTTACATGTTATTGATCTTACGAAGAAAAAAGAAAAAAAAAAAAGAAAAGAAACATTAAGATTTTTTATGAAAAGTGCATTTATGTATGCAATATGTAAGGCATTGTTAATGTAATGGATTGGGCCGTGGATATCGGCCTGGGTAGCTCAGTCGTTAGAGCACCTGACTAGTGATGCAGGAGCTTCGGGTTCGATTCCCGGTCCACCCATACATTTTCTCCTTTCCCAAGCGCGGATCCAGGATTTGAAGTTAGAGGGGGCGCAAAAAGTAGGCAGGGGGTCTGGGGGCCGCCTTGAGGCCCCCAGTGGGTCCAGGGCGAAGCCCTGGTGGGGGTCCAGGGTGCGAAGCCCCCGGAAGCTCCTGGATTCTAGAGATTTTGTAGGGTAAAAATGAGGTCTACCAAGTAGAAATTTTTACATTTTCTCGACGAAACTATGATTTACGCTAACTTTGACAATTTTAGGGGGGGCGCGCGCCGGGTGCGCCCCCCCCCCCTTAAATCCGCCACTGTTTCCTGTTACATTTATTTTGTAAATGTAAAAAAAAAAGATTTTGTATGTTGTCTGATAAATTAGCATATCGTGTATTAACTCTCTCTCTCTCTCTCTCTCTCTCTCTCTCTCTCTCTCTGAGTATCACATACACTCTGATGTTGTTATCTCGATCTCATGCTTCGTAACCCCCCTCCCGGATCTACTTCTATATTATGTAGCCCCATCTCCCGAGGCCTGTTCAACAAAGCGAACGATCGCGAGCGCTCGCGAACATTTCTGTTGGAAAGATAAGGAATTTAGGCGAGCGCTCGTGAACGTTCGCTCTGTTGAACAGGCCTCTGTTATATATGTTTTACATCCTTAAATCTCTTGTCAAATTCTTAGTTCTATCAAGAGGAGCCTCCCATTTATTTTGTATTTCGCGCTAAAATACCGTTAAAAAATCAACACAAGGGGGCGCTGCGCATAGTTTTTGCGGAAGAGACAACTTGGTTGGTGAATGTGTTTTCTTTTGAGATAGCACTAGGCTTACTTAAGGAGTTAGAAAGATTATGTCAAGCACATAACAGCTGACAATTCCTTGAACAATAGTAAGAGAGTTAAATATTATCCGCGCACGTGTTGTGTCAGTTGAAACTGTTAGATTGTGTGAGAAAATGTCAGATCGCGCGAAGCAGACGGTTGAGTGACAACCATCAGTGAGATGTCGGCGACAGTTCTTCACTTTGGAGACATCGTGTCTCTGTATGCAGAGGGGGGTGTCAGTGGATTTATCTCGACCCTAGGGTAAGCATGTCATAAAAGAGCAGTTTCTGTGAAACGGATTGTGTTGAAATTCTACTTACTATCTATCGGGTGTGAAATGTGGGATATTGTGTCACAGTTAGTTCGAATTTTCTCAATTTTCACATCTATAGGGAGTTGTTTCCTACCAGATATAAATAATCCAGAAATAGAAGCATTGCTTACATAATCAGTCTCCCTTTGGGGAAACACTCTGTGACCTTAGTTTTTGATACAAGGCGCAGCTGAACCAAGAAGATAGAGGAATCTATACATTAAATTATTGTTGTGAGATGATTAGGGTCATGTAGGTATTCAGTATTATCTTAAATTTTAGGAAATTTCTAGAAAAAAAAAATGGACTTGAGATTTAGCATTATCAATACAATTTATATATAAAATATTCAGTGTTCTAGAGAAAAAAAATTATGATTAAATATATTGTCTGAATTTCAAGGCTTTTGAACCATGTCCCCTTTTTTTTTTGAACTTTCCTTTATTATTATTTTTTTTAATTAATTTAACATGTTTCACTTCTTGTGTTTTCATTTGCAATATTCCTGTTACCTTTTAAAGAGAGAGGCATGAAATTTTATAATGATTGGGGTAGGATATTTTGTGAAATGAAAATAAAATGGTTTTCCAAATCAAAGGAGCAGATAGAAATTAAGAAAAATGGTGAGTTTTTATGTTAACAAACCATTGTTTTCAAAACTGTTTTTAAACATGATCATATTGGTTTTTTTTTTTTTTTTGGTTACAAATCAGGCAAATTCACTTTTAGCAATTCCAGACTGAACGATTTTAATGTTTTACTATACTGCATCTAAAGTGTTAATGTGTTGGTGTCTATCTAACAGCCCTGAACTGACCAGAACAATTTAGCTCTATATAGGCCAGAGAAATATAAGGCCAGTCAATGACAATCAATGAGACATATACCAGGTGTAGTCTTCAATCATGGCCATTAGCTCTCAGCACTATTCATTAACTTTGTAGATCAAGTACAAATAACAAAGCCAGATTATTTTGCTGTGTTGATAATTTTTTTCTATCTTACAATGCAGCATTTTACAATACGATTCTGTGTGTGAAATTGTTATTGCAATAAAATAATTTTTGCAGAGAAATATTTAGGCTTTTCCAAAGAGCCATATTAAAGTGAGATCTAAGACACTTGTAAGATAGAATGCTGTACACAGATGATAAACTTTAACACCTTAGATTTGATTTGAACATATTTTATTGCAATAAATATATACAATGTGATTGGGCACAAGTTCTAAAAACTTAATTCGCCCTCTCCCTACATGTTATATCACAAAAAATTCAATCAGACGTGTCCAACAGCATGTACAAAGTAAATTTACTCACAACATAGAAACATATACTGCTAAATTATTATCTATACACATTTTTAGAAAAATCAATTAAAACTGCCTGAATGCTGAATATATGATTGAACAATAGAGAAGAGATATTCATTTTCAGCAGTACTGAGTGAAGTATCCCCCCAGAGTAAAGTATGAGTGTCAACAATATGAACTTTATTAAATCTCAAAAACTTTAACACCTTACAATCTTGTGTACATATATATCAATGTAATTTTGATTTAATGAATTTAAGTACCCTTTACTATGACAAATAAGTCTTTTTGTGTACTCTTGATACCCATTATTTAGTATTATTTTCCCCCCATTCAAGAGAACATAAAGTTAGATGTTATGGAAATTTAAATACATGTACCTGATTATCTGCACTGGGAATTACTTTCATTTTTCACTGGACATTTTGCTATCGAAGTTAAATGTTGCTGGTCAAATAATTTTTTCAGCATTAGTGGTTTTAGATCTAGCTAGTTTAAGGATATTAATAACTTTAAAAATTACTTATCCAACAAAAGTTTGAATGTTAGCTAACCATGTTAACATTTAAAACACTGGTCAAACTCTAAAAATTAATTTGTCTTAATAGGTTTGCAAGCCTTAATTCCTTCTTCTTTTCTGAGCCTGAGTATTAGGAAAATTTTGGAGAATCCTTGAAGCTGGTGTAATAATTATTCATTTAATATTCAATAGTGTATGTACTCTTTTCTGGATGTATTGGGAAGAGGGTGGGGAGACTTTATCTTAATTTGTAGATATTTCTGAATACTGATATAAAACAGTCCTTAATATATCTGTGCTTATGTACAAGATGTAGACTGGGTGTGTCCCTTAAGTCACCAGTAAACATCAAAAGAGATAAAATATTCCAAAACTTTTAAAATCAAAATCGTCTTTCTGAATTTATTATGCCACAAATCAGAATTTATGAGAGTCAACCCCCCTAAGTATTGATCCGTCATAGGAATGTAAACAAGAAATTTACTTGGTTTAGAAAGACATGTACCTGTTACACAGTGTATAGGGCAGCATACCTGTTGTGACAATTAACAGAGTCAGTGGGTGTCCTCTACAACCTGTCCTTAGATGGAGAGTTGTAAAAGGGGCCCCAAACAAGGATCCCATTAATTTATCTACAAGGCTGAAAAGTGAAATTGAATTTTTCAGTTTTCTATGCTTCCTCTAATTTTTAATAAGATGACGTACTTGCCTGGAATTTCTGGAGCTGTATTTTTATTTGAGGTTCCTCTCATGCATGTCTCATTACAGATAGATAGGATTTTCTTTTATTACTATCTCAGATTCTCCAGATAATTGGGTCAGTCAGCATGCATATATATATTTTTGGGGGTTGTTTTATTCAAATAGATTATACATTGAACATGTTGAAGTTAAAGTAACAGTTTGGTTTATGTTTTTCCAATACTGTGTAAATGAAAAAAATCCTTATTAATATTAAACATATGCACAAAATTTAAAAAAAAAAAATCAAAATATGAAAAGAATTAATAATGGAAGAGAAAATTTCTTGGAATTAAAATCCTTGGCCTTTAGAACTAAACTGACTGATTTGTTTTAATATTTATAAAACCCTTTTTGTTCTTTATTTTTAGACAGTGTTTTTGTTGATGAAAGAGATCTATCATAATTTAGTGTCAACATGGTGGGGGCAGTGGGAATTTGACCAGTAATTCACACCGTGGTGTGGGTGGGATGTTAGCTTGATATCTCTGGTAATATGAGATACAGGATACTGTACAAGTTAGGAGAGATTTAAAGACCTATTTGTCAGCTCTAGATAAGTATGACAGACTGCCGTGACGTAGTCCTTCTATACCATGTTTACAGCATAATTTTGGAGTCTTCCAGATAGGTGTACTGTTGTTAGATTTTTAGAGCGATTCCTTAGGAATTCTCATGCCTTCATGCCTTAACATTTTTAAGTGAGGCGTAAAAATCAAGATGAGATTGTACAAACAAATTTAGAGATTGAGGCTTTGTTTTGGTTGTAAAATGATTGAGCATGGTAGAGTTGAAGCTCCTGTAATTCATCTTATATATTAAGTTTCACTGCGTTTATCTGACACTTGTTGAATTCTTTCACTATAAACCAAAGAATGTACACAAATTGCTGTTATGTATTTGTAACGAACATCACATACAAAGATACAAAGAGGGAAAATAACTGTCATATTGCAGAATCTTAAATAAATCCATGATAATCAGATACCCAGATATATTAATACATTAAAAGCCAAAAGATTTACATTAAGTTACTGTTTGTAGGGTTTTAGATACAGTATCTGACTCGAATATCGTGAAAATCATAGATAAATATGTCCAAGCGAGTTGAAAGTCCCAGCCACTTTTTCTTAAATTTTTCTGTGGCCCCATTGAGTTTCAAGATAATGAGATTTGACTGTATAATGAGAATGTTAGGAATGAATTAGAGTAGTATATATATTTCTTATTAAAGTTACATTATCAGACTTGATAATAAGGTAGATCCATGGTTAGACCGTTTATGAATTACTTGGTAATAAAACACTAATTGTGTTTGTGCTTTCAATGATTAGATCATCTATGATGTGACATTGTACAGGAAGTTTTATGGGGTTGCTTAATGTTATACATAGCATGTTACTTTACTTTGTTAATCAGATAAATAGACTTACAATTGTAACTATGAAGCTTATGCTTGTTACAGTTTGATAGTTTACAGTGTGACTATATATTAAAAGCTTGTATGTTTGTTACAGGTTGGTTTATGAAAGATGTGTTTGATAGTTTACAGTTGTGACTGTAAATCTTATGTTTGTTACAGGTTGGTTGATGACAGATGTGTTTGATAGTTTACAGTTGTGACTGTAAATCTTATGTTTGTTACAGGTTGGTTGATGACAGATGTGTTGTGCAGCCTGATGCTGGGGACCTCAATAATCCACCCAAGAAATTCAGAGGTAAAAAATGAACAGCTTAAAATATGCTCAACTCCTGAGCAGGGACATTCATTGAAAGTTTATTTGGATGTGGGGAATATGAAATTTTGTGGGATTTTACCCTCAATCTATAATCTCCCAAAACAAGGATATGAGATTGATTCAATACTTTGACATTTTAATATACTTTTTTTCTTACCGGTACCTGTGTTCTATGCAGAAAACAGATCAATTCAGATTAGAGGGTTTTAGGGTGTAATGGCACAATTTTTTTTTTTTTTTTTTTTTTAATGGTGGAGATCTGCTCTTGATAAAAATTGTGCTATTCTGAGTTGTACAGTAGAAAAAAAATATTGCCTAAAGTCGACTTCCTTGTCATTTCATCCTTAATCACACTTTAGTGTAGTCTGTAAGTATTCTAGGATAAGTACAGAGTTACAAACATATAAGTATAAAATCATTCACATGTATACAGTGTGCATGCTGTCTATCGACCCTATAGTATTCATTGTTTACAAACATAACTCATTTCCCGTCAGTTCTAATCAAGCACTGCTATTATTGTAATGTTGAACATGTAGGTGATATGGTACAGTGTTCACGTACACAGACAGGATCTCCAGGTTGTTTGTCAATGAGTGCTGGAGAGTGGAGATACATCTCTGTCTATAGAACATCACCACAGGCTTACAGTAAAAGTAGAAACATTAATTGCTATCTATAGTGTCACCTTAACTTTCATACAGACAACAGATTGACAGATCTGTAGGATGTCTAGATGACATGCATTATAAATTGATAGTTTGATATTTTTTACTAGAAATCTGTGCTACTGATGCCAAAGAATTGTCCAGATTCTAGGTTGAATATATTGCTACTTCTTGTCATGTGACCTCAAGCTGCAGCAGTGTGGTTGTTTATGTCCAAGGTTGAAATTCTTTGGACAACCTGAAGACTGGGCAACCAGATACTACTTTATGGTTGTCTGAATGGATTGTAGAACAGGTATATGGGCTCAAAATTGATCGATGAAGGAAAGAAAGCAATGAAAGTTTATGGCTAGAACAGGAATTGAACCAAGGATCTCTGCATTACTTCAGATCAGATACTATAGCCACTGACCTATCCCTATCCAGGCTGATATCCACGGTTCATATAGTGCAAACTACTGCATTACTCCCTCCTTAAATTTTCTTTTTTATGCCCCCATAATCAAAAATTTGGGGACATATAGTTTTTGCCTTGTCTGTTTGTCTGTGGAAACTTTAACCTTGTCATAACTTTTGATTGTTTTGGAGCAATGGCTTTCATATTTCACATGTGTATTCCTTGTGTAGATCTTTCTTTGGGTGCCATCATATTTGACCTTGACCTTAGAGTTTGACCCAGTTTTGCAAAATTTTACCCAACTTTAACTATGGCCATAACTTTAGAACAGTTGGTGCTAGGGCTTTCATTCTTCACTTATGTAATCCTTCTGACAAGACCTTCTTTTTGATACCAATAACTTTGACCCTTTGACCTTGACCTAGAAGTTTGACCTACTTTTGGAAAACTAACCTTGGCAATAACATTTGAACAGTTGGTGCTATGACTTTTATACTTCACATATGTAATCCTTGTGACAAGACCTTACTTTGAATACCAACAACTTTGACCTTGACCTTGGAGTTTGACCTACTTTTAAAAAACTTTAACCTTGGCCATAACTTTTGAACGGTTGGTGCTAGGGCTTTCATATTTCAGATGTGTATTTCTTGTGAGAAGGCCTTTCCTTAGGCACCATTAATTTTGACCGTTTGACCTTGACCTTGATGTTTGAATTACTTTTGAAAACCTTTTCCATATCTTTTCAATGGTTGCTGCTACGGCTCTCTTATTTCACAGGTATATATTCCTTGAGACAAGACCTTAACTTTGGGTACCAGACATATTTGATTTGCATTTGAGAAAGTTTAACCTTTGCTATAAGTTGCCATACAGGGTCATCAGTGTTTCATAAACACATCTGTTCACTTTGACACACAACCCGTATTCTTTAGGCCTTGACAGGATTTTCACCTGTAAGCTTTAAGTCCAGGGAAGGACAGTGGTACCAAATGTAGTAGGAAAGATGGAATGAGAATTGAACAAACACCGTGAAAGTTTAGAAGAGGAATTATATGTTCCCCAGCTAAAATGTAATACATAGTGTGAAATTTTGTAAGTTATTAGATGACTTTGAAGTCAGTGCAGTAACTTCTTCAGCAATCCATTTTGTCATGCAAGTATTACATGTAGCTAATGATGATATAATGATAGATGTAGCAGTGTAATAGGATTTTTCTCAATGATATCAATAGCTTTGGCAGAGATAGAAACCTAGTTAATGGGTTAAAGGCACTCCATAATGGCAAGTTAGTAATTGACTGAAACAGAGGCAGACATTTGCTACACTGACATAGAGATCTGGTTTTCTTCAGATCTGGTTTTTCTCTCTGAAAATAAACAAATCTTTGATATTTTTTCTCTCTTATGTTTTATTTGTGTAAACAAAAAATGTCTTGTAAATAAGGCATGAAAGTTTATAAAGGACAAATCAGGGTTCTCTCACATGAACAGCATGTTGAGTTTTGAAAACAAAATTATGTTTAAATCTAATTTATAAAAATGAAGAATTGCAGCATTCTTCTGTTTGAAATGAGAATCATTATTGGAAGATGTTTAATTTATATGTCATTGCTAGTCTACATATCTTGTACCTTAAAATATTTCAGACTTTAGCACTTACAATGTAATTGACACAAGAAATTTTTTTCATAAACAACCTTGTATGGTCCAGATCATGACCATGCATTGATAGTAATTAACATAAAAAGGGGGGGGGGCACACCCTCAAAAAATTGAAGTCGGAAATTCAAGAAACTTTAGTTTATTACTGGTTTGGATGTTGACTGGTATTTCAGTTTTAAACAAAATAAAAATATAGCTTTCATGAACATGAAAAAAGATTTACTGACTCTTAAAATTGCTACCTAGGGTATGTGTGATGGTTTGCTTTAAATATTTAATTTTTTTTTTTGTTTTTTTTTGAAATGTTTAATGAGGAAATTTGAACTTCAATGAATATGTTAAAAAAGTTTTTTTGAAAAATTATACTAAGGCAGTGCAGCATAGTCAGTACATAGATCAGTAATAAACAATGGTTCTGGAGTTATATATTTTATTACTGCTGCATGTCGCGGTATCTGTGGTATTTTAAGAGTCGACTGCAATCACAATGCAGCAATGTTTAGATGACTTGATGTTAAATGGAGAATGAATGACACTGTAATGTTACATAATCCCGCTAATACACGGCATTGTATACAATAAGTGTAAACACACACAATCAAGAGGCTCTCTGTTTCATCTCTGTTTTCGAGCCCTTTGTCACATTATCAAAGCTGAGAGAGCAATCTTCCAGAGGCTAAATCTTTTTTTCGCCCAGTAGCTGGCACTTAAAGTCTCGGTTCCTGAGGACTTCCTGGTTCAGTCTATGTTCGGTGTTCTGTAGCGTAATCTCAGGAAGTCGCCATCTCAGTCAGACAGCGATGTATAATGTTTACTGAACAAAATTCAAAGATTAATTGCGTTTTAAATAAAAACTTTGTGAAACAATGATTTGTTGTACTTTATAAATGCTGTAAAGGGTAAAATTATAGTCAGTAGAGTATTAAAAGATTGATGTGATTAAATGTGGGCAGCAGTCTATCAGGATTTTGTGTTCAATGGGGACCAATATGTGACTGTTTTATAAGATATATCACATCTGTGGGTTATTATAAAACTCCTCAAAGGGACCCCTGTGAATTGATTGGTTTTATAAGTAGTGATTTATGTCACAAGTTCTACTGTATATATATCTTTTATTGATTGATTAAATTAGAAAAGTTTTAATTAACCACCTTAAAAGTCCCATCTGTATTATTTAGTGGTCGACTTTCCATGCGATTGAAAGAAGAAGACCATGATTGTTCAATACAATGCCATTTTTAATAATAATAATTTTTGATATCAAGCATATTTTATTTTTCAGACTGCCTATTCAAGATCTGTCCAAATAACCGCTACTCGGCACAGAAACAGTTCTGGCAGGCTCAGCGCTCAGGAACAAACTCGACCACTTCATGCTCGGACACTGTCCTGCTGAAAAAACTCCATGTAATTACATCTCTGTGTTGTACTGTTTTTGTGTGATAATGTGGTTGTCAACTGGTCATACATGTATATATATCTTTTAGTTTAAGACTTGCCTTTTTTCCTTCTTTTTTCTAAAACATTGTCTTTGAGAAAAGGAAAAAAATGTTAGGATAAATTCTTTATGGTCACACACTTGCTGAGTCTTCTAGTACTTGTGTGTTTTTGATGCCTGCGAACATACATGTATGGTCTAGTATGTGTTACTGCTGTTTCATTTCGTAATAATGCATAATTAATTCCACGTCCACTGCAGTTACATGTTATAGCTATAAAACTAGGATAAGTTACTTAAAAGCATGAGACATACTGAGTTGACAGGTTTTTTTTTTTAATCTTAAGGATCACATATGATTTTTCTAAGTGATTATTCCACAAGGGAAATCAGAATACAAGAGAAAAGGATAGCTATTCTGTATATAGAATTTATATGTGCAACAACTTATCTTTGTGGATCTTTTATTTATTCATTTCCACATATCCATAGCAGTGGGTTTTTTTGTTTTTGTTTTTTTTTTTTTGGGGGGGGGGGGGGATGGAGGGGGGGGGGATGATAAAATCTTATGGTTGCAAAATTTTGAACCCCCCTAATTTGGATTTCTATACTTAGAGTAGAGGGTTCAAGACATTATGGCTGTGAAACATTGAAAACCTTTAGTCTTGAATGATTAAGAAGAGAATATTTAAAATATTATAGCTTTTAAATATTTGCCCCTATACAGTGTGTGAAATTAACGGTAGACCGATAGTCAAAATCTATAGAAAATGCGTCCGGTCTATAGCAAGATGAATATCTCAAGACCGACTTGTCTATAGAGTAAAATTGGCTGTTTTACTCAATAAAACTTTTCAGCCAAAGAAAAACTTAAGCTTCAATGCTCTATTGTTCATAAATCTCCTTCATCTAATCCATTTTGCAGTACTTCATGTTTTATTTATTCGTAACACGATCATAATTTTTTTGTAGTCCGAATTTCCTCAATTCCTCTGTTTATTGTAGATACGTCTAAATATCCCATAAAATTATTTCCTGACTCAGTAAACCAAAGAATGGGTATTGGTTTGATTTATATCACATAAAAAATATAATTAAAGTACATTTTAAATTTTAACATGAAAAAAAAATCAATGTTCACTCTTTAATCTATAGGTTGCACCTTTGCAAAAGGGGATAGAAAGATAGTTAAATTCAGTGATATTTATGCATGACTATTGATTAACTAGTACATGAAAATGATAAAAAATCATCATTTTCAGCAATATGCTTAATTAATTTTTTTTTAAACCAATATGGCAAATGAAAAAAAAATCCTAAGAGCCTAGAATTTTTTTCTTCAACATGTTACAATAAACACATTTTTTTGCCTATTCACACAAGTTTTCATTAACAAAAATTGAAGTCTTCTTAGAAATTTTAATGTTCCCTGCATCTGTAAAATTCAACATAATAAATTTACTGTTCAAAGTGTAACCCCCCCCCCCCCTAAAAAAAAATCATTTCTTAATAATCATGGTTATAAACCTCCATGTATCTTATGCCAATTCATAAAATAATGCAGTGTGGGGAAAAAGGAATAAGCCATTGAAAAATATACAATTAAATAAAAACAGAGATATATAATTTTTTTGGTCTATAGGAAATTTCTCAGGTCTATAGAATTTCAAATTATTGTATACCAATTGTCTATAGCTTTAAAAAGTTAGTTTTGCACACTGCCCCTATATTGAGATATGTAATTTATTAAACAGTCAGAGTCTTTGTTTGAAATAAACGAAGACAAATCTTTACTACTGTTAGGTCCCTTTCAGCCTGTGTAATTATGTGAGTCCTGTATTCTGAAATGAAAAACAATTTTACATTATATATATATATTTGGTTATTGATTTTAGAGTGCAGCAGAATTGGAAAAGAAACAGAATGAAACAGAGTACAAAAAACAGCTGGGGAACACAGTACAGTATGGAAATGTCATCCAGGTAACCTTTATCAATAATATCTCTGGGGTATACTGTATAAACAGAGTACAGTGAAGCCAGACTCCAATAACCTGGACGCTTCACCTACCAGACAAAATCTGTGGGGAGCAATTTAGATTTACCAAGTATGTCTGAGTAATCTGGATGCTTCACCTACCAGACAAAATCTGTGGGGAGCAATTTAGATTTACCAAGTATGTCTGAGTAATCTGGATGCTTCACCTACCAGATGAAATCTGAGGGAGCAATTTAGATTTACCAAGTATGTCTGAGTAATCTGGATGCTTCACCTACCAGATGAAATCTGAGGGAGCAATTTAGATTTACCAAGTATGTCTGAGTAATCTGGATGCTTCACCTACCAGATGAAATCTGAGGGAGCAATTTAGATTTACCAAGTATGTCTGAGTAATCTGGATGCTTCACTTACCAGATGAAATCTGAGGGAGCAATTTAGATTTACCAAGTATGTCTGAGTAATCTGGATGCTTCACCTACCAGATGAAATCTGAGGGAGCAATTTAGATTTACCAAGTATGTCTGAGTAATCTGGATGCTTCACCTACCAGATGAAATCTGAGGGAGCAATTTAGATTTACCAAGTATGTCTGAGTAATCTGGATGCTTGGTTAATCTGCACAATCAAGGGTGTGGATTTTCAAGACTCCACTGTACAAAAGCAGCTGGGGAATACAGTACAGTATGAAATGTCATATAACCTTTACTATCTCTGAGGTGTGCCTATAAACCACTCTCTGCAGCTCTAACCTTTGCAAACTAGATCGACTCCTCCAATGCTGGTTTTTTTGCAAGGATGGGGAAGTCACTGAAGTTTCCATCAGAAAATGATAATTATGTCTATAAATTAAGCAAAATTAGAAACATAGAGAAGGCAAAAAAAAGTGCCTCTACATCTATATGTTTCAACATTAAAATTGCATACTAAGAAAGTTACTGTTTATAAAACTTGGTTTAAAGCATTGTACACTTGAAAGGAAAAAACAGGTACAAATATCACACAGGTATATTGTACATCCCTTATTTTCAAAAAGCATACACGGTTGAGAGGTGGTCAGAATTTGTGGAGATGTATAAAGAAGAATTTTCTCACCATTCCTTTTCCATTACTATCATTTTAAAGGAATCCAAATATATCTGTCTAATAACTGTTGTTTAATGGTAAAAGTATCACAATACCTGTAACCTGGGGAGAGGTAGAGAGGTAGTGCAGTTGTGTAATAGTTATAAGCCGGTTGTCAGGTAACCTGATTCAAGTTCTGAAAAATACAGATAGCTCAGAAGAAAGGAATAAAACAGATAAAAATTATTTGTAGAATTCACACTTTGTCTGTTTTGTGTATTATGTTTTAGTTCTGGTAATATAGCCACTAGGTGATCTGCCAAGTTTTAAAAACAAACATAACATTGGTGTTTTCAATCAAATAAACATATATAAAGTCTGTTAAATCTCAGAAATGTTTTACACACTTGGACAGCATATTATAAAGTGTACATTTTGCCAAGATTTACACTAATGATGGTAGAGGGGAGAAATGGTTTTTATGTAGGTGTAATAAGTCCATGTCTATTGTGAAATAAAATGCTCAATGACATCCAAAGTCTCAATTTTCATGTATATTGTTAGATAATTAAAAGAAGATAATATTATACATATTAGGTTTTTTTTTAATTTCAATTTCAGTAATAATTACTGAAAGTTTTAAATAAGCTGAATTGAAATTAAAAAAAATAAAATGTTGAATATTTATAAGGACCTGTTTTATTCATGTATGTATAGACTGAAAAGTGTGTAAAATACTACTATAATTCTGTGTCTTTCTTTATATACCAGGTAAATGTGATAAAGATGATAAAATGTGTATATAATATGCAGTGCGATTATTTTGTCAATTACAGAGTACATGTTTGGTTTTATTTTTTTTTTTACACAGTTACTACATCTTAAGGTTTTGTCAATTACAGAGTACATGTTGGGTTTTATTTTTTTTTACACAGTTACTACATCTTAAGAGTAACAAATACCTGACCGTTAACAAACGACTCCCAGCCCTGCTGGAGAAGAACGCCATGAGGGTGACTCTGGACATCCAAGGGAACGAGGGATCCTGGTTCTACATAGAGCCCTTCTATAAACTCAGGCAGTCAGGGGACGCGGTTAGTATAGAACTAGAAAATTAGTTCTGCACAGCATTTCTAAATATTATGATTTACACAGTTGTGAATAATCTTTTGATCATTATGTCACAGAAATGCCTGTGTACCGGAGTTATGATTGTCTTACAGGTGGTGGTCGGAGATAAGGTGGTTCTGAAGCCGGTGAATGCAGCCCAGCCCCTCCACGCCAGCAACTATGACCTCCCAGACAAACAGGGCTGTAAGGAGGTCAGTAGAAATGACTGTAACAGCTAACTGGGTCTGTGATCAGTAGACATGAGTGTCTGTTGACCTTTCTGGTCAGTTATCTTAGACAGAAGGAGACAATTTTAGGGGGAAAATCCACACTTTAGATTTGTTGAAGTATGATGTAGATAAAATAATCTAATATTTTTTTCCATTGTTGAATTTCTTTGGAAAATCTTTTTTGCTGTACATATCTTTTATGGTAAAGTTTAGTTGGAATTTTTTTGATATGCAGAAAATGGTTTCAAATTTCTATCAGTTAGGTGTAGGTATATAATTAGTAGTGTATGCATCAAGGTATTACAACATAATTCTGTATATTTCCACCATTAGGTGAATGCTATCCTAGTTGGAATGAATCCAGATGAAAGAGAAAAAATGGTGCTCTATTTCTTTTTAAATCTTGAATTATCTCCCTTGCTGGTGGGGTTGTTCTTTCCTCTGTCATTTTCTTGTAAACAATCAGAGATAAAAAATAAAATTTTGTAAGAAATTATTTATAAACACAATACTTGAAAAGAAGTTTTATATCAAAATTGCACTATGTTGAATTTTATCATTTTAATATAATGTGTTTAAAAAATATAACCAGTGTATCCAGATATCATAAAATTCAAAGCTTGTTAAAATGTGATTCTTTGTTATATTTGTATGAATTAGTCAATAAAACTTTAAAGATATTTTTTGTGAATCCAAAATTTCCCTCTGTTGCTTTTAATGTCATGGATGAGGGATGTATACTCTGTTATTTATTCTTTCAATTAAAATTATACAAAGATTTGTAATGTATTTTTAGTAATACATGTATGTGTAATCCAGTCTTCTGATCAGGTGTAAATTGATATAAAATCATAAAGAACTTTAAGCAAGTACCACACAATTGTATTAAAAAGCATTTATGATCATTATTTACTAGTACAATTCAAATTAAGTTAAAATGGTTGCTTTTTCTGTTATTTAAGAAGAGAAAAAAATTGATATTATTAAATAGAAAAAAATTATTCAAGCTTTACTGCAGATAAAAGTAATACAATGACAGACCATAAGTCAGTCTCTTTGAAGATCATGTGCTTTTATGTGACAAGTTTGTATTTATTTGTAGGTAAATTCTGTGAATTGTTCTACCTGCTGGAAGATGACTCTCTTTATGGACTTCAAGGAAAACATGGAGGATGTTCTCAAAGGGGTAGGGGTACCTTAACAAAGGGGTAGGGGCACCTTGACAAAGGGGTAGGGGTTTCCTGAACAAAGGGGTAGGGGTTTCCTTAACAAAGATGTAGGGGTTTCCTTAACAAAGGTGTAGGGGTTTCCTTAACAAAGGGGTAGGGTTCCTTGAACAAAGGTGTAGGGGTTTCCTTAACAAAGGGGTAGGGATTTCTTGAACAAAGGTGTAGGGGCTTCCTTAACAAAGGTATAGGGGTTTCTTGAACAAAGGTATAGGGGTTTCCTTAACATAGGGGTAGGGGTTTCCTGAACAAAGGGGTAGGGATTTCCTGAACAAAAAGGGGTAGGGGTTTCCTTAAAAAAGGGGTAGGGGTTTCCTTAACAAAGTGGTAGGGGTTTCCTTAACAAAGGGGTAGGGGTTTCCTAAAAAAGGGGTAGGGGTTTCCTTAACAAAGGGGTAGGGTTTCCTGAACAAAGGAGTAGGGATTTCCTGAACAAAGGGGTGGGGGTTTTGTTAACAAAGAGGTAGGGGTTTCCTTAACAAAGGGATAGGGTTTCTTTAACAAAGGGATAGGGGTTTCCTTAAAAAAGGGGCAGGGTTTCCTGAACATACTCAGCTGAGTCAGCTCAGGGGTTTACTGAAAATACTCAGCTTAGTTCTAATTTGCAAATTGAGCATAGAACAAATATTTTGTCATAAAATTTTTTTCATTGATACAATATAAATAAGATACAGAAAATTTAGGTTTAGATATATTACTTGTAAATATGTAAACGGAAATTTTGGTGAATTCATAACTGTATAAAGGGAAATGTAGGAGAACCATTTTGTGTTCAGAAATGTAAAGTAAATATAGTCTACCTATATGTTTAATAGGGAGATGTAGTGAGGCTGTTCCATGCCGAGGAGCAGATGTTTCTGACGGGGGATGAATACAAGAAACAGCAGTATGTTTTCTTAAGGGCCACCGCCAGAACCACGGCTACCACCGCCACCAGCTCCAAGGCTCTCTGGGAAGTAGAGGTAGGATAAATGTGTCGCCACCATAATAGTGTAAACAAATGTTGATCTTATAAAAAAGAAAAAGTAAGTGTTATTTAAGATAAGAATTGTGCATATACAAATATGATGTCATGACAAAAAAAATACAAAATGATAATTTACAAAGTTATAAAGATTTAAGATATATTAAGATAAGTAGTTAGAAAGATTAAAGTTTTTTTGTTTGACAGGTGGTGCAGCATGATCCGTGTCGTGGAGGAGCAGGGCAGTGGATGAGCTTGTTTAGGTTCAAACATCTGGCCACGGGACAATACCTAGCAGCAGAGGTGAGGCAAATATAAAGATCAAGTCTATATGGAGGGGGGGGGGGTGTTATGATTCTGTTCTCAGTTTGATTTGTCTATAAAACCAAGACATTATCTGTTAGATATTAAAGCAGATTTTGAAATTTTTTTTTTTTGAATAAAATTTGCCAGAGCTTTGTATGGGGAGTTTAGAGTTTTAAAGTTTTCAAAGAGCATGGTGACAAAGACTTGACAATGTAGACTTTTAATTCTGGGTTTGTTATTTTGTGATTTTTATTGCTTAGGTGGACAAGGACCCTACGAGTGACCCAATGAGGAATAAGTTACGAGGGCCCCCTACGAATTCCGTCTTCACCCTGGTGTCTGTTCCCCATGGTCATGATGTGGCTACAATATTTGAACTGGATCCTACATCACTTACAAGAGACACTTATGTACCAAGGTAAAAATAGGAGAAGACAACTCCAGATTCTTATGTTCTTACAAACCCTAAAAGTGGTTCACTATAAAATATGAAAGATCGAACATATCCTGTGATACATTTTGTAAGGCACTTGATCTTCAGCGTGGGACATTTTTGTTTCACAAATATCAAGAAATTTCAATCATAAGAATGCGTACAAAGTTATTTCAAATTTGTATTTATTCCTTATGTTTGTAGGAATTCCTATGTCCGTCTACATCATCTGTGTACTAACACTTGGGTCCACTCTACAAGTATAGCTATAGATAAAGAGGAGGATAAACCAATCAGAAAGAAGGTAAGATCAGCACATTGGTAATTCCGTCAGATGAATAAAGCAATAAAGAGATATTTGTAGACTTATTGTACAGGAAAAAAGAAGTAGCCATGAGAAAATATTAGCTAATCTTTAGGAAAATAGAGCAAGTGTAGAGATAAAAAAAAAAAATATGTGATTTTTATGAGAACCTGCATCAGAATGGGAGAACTGTAATTTAACATCAGGTTTGTCTATCTTTCAACACTTTTATTAAATGTGATAGATTGAGTTAATGTACTTTTTTATTTTTACTACATAAAGGTCCATGTCAAAATTATTGATGCTTGCGTAGAGCAGGACCCTGTTTGACTTCGTCAGTTTTCTTACTTCTGTTGCTACATGCATGCTTTATCTGATATTAAACCTATAGTGGGGTATGCCTCCATAAAGGAGGATCCTTTGGTGCCAGTATAAATATAGATCTTACTCATTCTAGGTGGGGTGTGCCTCTATTAAGGAGGATCCTGTGGTGCCAGTATAAATGTAGATCTTACTCATTCTAGGTGGGGTGTGCCTCTATTAAGGAGGATCCTGTGGTGCCAGTATAAATATAGATCTTACTCATTCTAGGTGGGGTGTGCCTCTATTAAGGAGGATCCTGTGGTGCCAGTATAAATATAGATCTTATTCATTCTAGGTGGGGTGTGCCTCTATTAAGGAGGATCCTGTGGTGCCAGTATAAATATAGATCTTACTCATTCTAGGTGGGGTGTGCCTCTATTAAGGAGGATCCTGTGGTGCCAGTATAAATGTAGATCTTATTCATTCTAGGTGGGGTGAGCCTCTATTAAGGAGGATCCTGTGGTGCCAGTATAAATATAGATCTTACTCGTTCTAGGTGGGGTATGCCTCCATTAAGGTGATCCTTCGGTGGCAATATAAATATAGATCTTACTCGTTCTAGGTGGGGTGTGCCTCCATTAAGGAGGACAGGGAAGCCTTTGCTGTGGTACCAGTTTCCCCACAGGAAGTCAGAGATTTGGACTTTGCTAACGATGCCAGTAAAGTTCTTTCAGACATCGCAAGCAAACTGGAGAAAGCTTCCATCACCCAGAATGAAAAGAAGTATTTGTCCTGTACAATATTGTCTATATTTTATAGGAAATTAGCATGATTTTTCTCTTCAAAGGCCCATTTTATGCATTAGTAACTTGTCAATTTACAAAGATATAAACAAGTTTTGAGTTACAAAGAAGAAGTGTATGTGGCATTTAAGTGCTTGATTACATGAAAGCTGTTACTGTAGTTTAATTAAAACTTTATTCCATTGCTTACAGAATTCTCTTCATGCTGTGACTTATTACAGGTTCGTGACTCAGCTCTTGTCTGATCTGATCTACTTTGTGACGATGCAGGAGTCACACAATTCCACAGGGGACCCGCTGAAGGTGGAGATGACAAAATCCAAAGACTGTAGGGAAAGACAGAAACTGCTCCGAGAACAGAACATCCTCAAACAAGTGAGGCGTGGTGAAGAGAGGGGGGAGGGGGTCAGGAAATTCAACAAAATTAATGTTAAGAAGATTAAAATGAGGGAAAATGAGTAATAGAAATGAGCTGCACTATTTTAATTCCATACAGTTGAAAAAGTATTGCAGCAAATAGGTACAATGAATTGGAAAAGATAATGTGTTTCTAAGGGAAATAACTCTTGAAAGACTAAAAATTGTACATTTACTTGTACTTACCATTAGATCTTTTTTTATGAGATTTTTATGCTGTTTGTTGTGTGTTTACAGGTGTTTCAGATTCTGAAGGCTCCGTTTGGTGGTAAGAATCCCATTGTAGAGATGGAAGAGTTGGCACACCAAAGACATCAACCATTTAGACAAATCTGTAAACTGTGTTACCACATTCTAAGGCTGTCACAGCAAGATTACAGGAAAAACCAGGTAACAAATAAATATCTAAACTGTGTTATCATTCAGATATATGAATGTTATACCACATCACTAAACACAGCTATCAATTCTGTTATTGTTTCACGTATTGGAATGTTCATTTTTGCATTTTTTGCAAAATCTCTTCGAAGAAGAAAACAATGGAGAGATCTTTGATTACATTATCCTTTCCAATTTAAAACCTCATGAAAAATCCTGAGGGCATAAAAAAAAGCCAAAAACCCCATATTTGTTATAATGTATCCTTTTATTTTGCTCATAATCATTCTTTTACAAATACAAGTGTAATGTTAAATTCATACATATGAATTTTATAGAATGACATAATTTATGATAAATATGACTATTTACAAATGTCATGATTTATACTAAATAAGTGTGACTATTTACAAATGACATGAATTATAAATAAATGTGACTATTTACAAATGATATGGCTTTATAATAAATAGATATGATTATTTACAATGACCAAAATAAATAGTAATGATATATGAACAGTAATACATGTTGTGAAGCAGAATAAATGTTCACAGAGATACATGATTCAAACAACAAATGTAGTTCAGATTCTCTCACATCCTGCTGAGGCAGTCCAGGGCATCATCCAGTTGTCTCCTCTTGGACATCCTGAGGAACTCCCGACTCCTGCTGACCAGCTCCACCTGTTGGCTGTACTCTGGGAACTTATTGATGAAGTAGTTGGGGATCTGTCTTCTGGTGTTGTTGGCTCGACTCCTCTTGTTGGACAGCCAGCGTTTGACCTGCTGGACGGTCAGACCTGTCTTGGCAGCCAGCTCCTCTCTCTGTGCCTCGGTGGGGTAGGGATGGCTCTGGTTGGCGGTGTACCATTGATTCAGGATATCTCGTGACTCGGAGGGCATGGGCTGGAAAGCTGGTGTCTCCTTCTTCTTGATGTTCTTGAACTTGATTGGATGCTGATTTCCAGTGATGGATAAGGTATTGAAGCAGCGCACTCTCTTGTTGGCCATCCACTTCTTCACTTGTTTGTGAGTTAGTCCTGACATCTTCACCAGCTCTTGAACTTCTTCATCTGTGGGATAAGGGTACTGGATGTGGCTCTGGTACCAGGAGGTCAGCACTTGGGTGGAGTCCAGGCCTGTGGAATCTGTTCTGGTTCTCTTGCTGTTTGGCTCCTCGGATTCTTCTCTCTTTCTCTTCAGTGCATTACTGGGCAGGACTTCCTCTGGGGTGGTCATGAAGATCTCATCTCCTCTGATGGGGCTGTAGTCACTAAGGCTCGAGTGGGAAGAGCTGGTTGAGTTGAAGACGGTCTCGTGTCGTGTGGTATCAAACTCATGCAGCACTGGGACTGTAGGCAACACAGCAGAAGGAGGGCTGACTCTTTGGCTGTTATCACTGATGGATGATGTGTCACTAAGAAGAGGAGTGATATCCTCTTCAGTAATCCCACACAAGTCACTGGCCTGCTGGAGGAGGTCCATGCCACTGTCCACTTGGAAGGATAAGCTGGTGTCAACATAAATCCCAGAATCCACTTCTTGTTCGGATGAAGAACTGTCGCTGCTGGAGTTGAGCTGAGAGGTATTGGGAGAGATGGCGGATGACGTCTGACCTTGAGGTGAGGTGCTGATGACTTTGGAGTCGGGTGTGGTGTTGAAGACGAGGGCACGCCTGCTGGATTTCATTGATCGTGATGATGCTTGAGATGATGTTGACTCTGATGATGATGGTACTGTGTGTGGAAGAGACTGGTCACTTGATCCCAAGGAAGCACAGGTTGACACAGACATGCACTGGGACACTGAAGCACACTGGGAACTGTAGAAAGGATGAGCTGGATCTGACAGGAGGTTGGAGCTGGCTCTGTGGTTGAACTCCGTAGATGGATGAGATCTGTGGATCTGGAGCTTCTGTTGGCAGGACACACTGTATCCACTGTAATCCTGGGTCACCGTCTGGATGAGGGTGGAGGGACGGTTGAAATGAAGACATTCCTCTGCAAGTATCTCCTGGAGTTGTCCAAACATGGGGTTACTCTGCAGATGGTTGAAGAAGTTGAAGGATGCTGGCACCTGGGTTGATATGTTGCTCTGTGGGTGGAATGCTGTATTTGTCTGATCTCGGTGGAATGTGATGGGTGGAGGGGAGTAGGTCTTCTCTCGGACTGTGATGTGTTGTTGAGGAGGAAAGCTGTGCCTGTAATACTGGGGCTGGACTTTTGGGTAGGTGCTGTACCTTTGTGTAGTTGGATACTGATGCTGGACGTACCTCTGACCTGTACTGTAGATGTGATGACCCTCGGGGATGCCCCTGAAACCAGGATGAGGAAACTCACCTTCCATGTTGAAGTCTCTTTTGTTAAACAGATTACAAAAAAAGATTTCTTAATTCTATGATATTTATTGAAATCTTTGTGTAATCTTAGTTCGGAGTACACACAGTCAACTCTATAGGAACTTTCTGAAAAAAAGTTTAGAATACTTTGATTGCTTGTTTTTTGTTTTGTGAGATTCAAGGTTTTGATGCTGGAGACTGACCAGGCAAGGTTTTATATACATGGAGGGGCACCTGCTCCCCATTACCTGAGACCCTCTGTCTCATGTCAGTCTCAGGAGAACTAGGAGCCTGTAATTGCTGTCTCTGCAGTTGTTTACATGGTCCTGTTTATTAATTTGTATTAACAATATTATCAGATTGTTTATCATTACACTAAAAGAATAATTATGTAATTCATTAAGTATATAGTTTTGATACTGGATGCAGTTTTCTGTGTATACTAGCTAGGAGAAGATAATTAAGTAATTATACTTTTATATAGTTGTGGGGAAACTGAGATACAGTGCTAGCTTGGGTATAAATTAAAGGTGGAAAATATGCAAGGATTTAATTGATCAATCTAGGGATACTTAAAAATTCACACCTTAATTGTGAGACTTTATCTAATTTACAGAAATGAATTTATTTGATTATGAGGAAAGAATTTTTTTTTTTAATTTATTGAAGGAGAGTTGTCAGTGAGATACTATAATTATTTTTTTTTTACATTTAGAATATTCATGTTCATGTATATATAATGGTTTTTATTTCTTCTGCATGTATGTTTATAGTTTAATTATTTAGTAAAACTAATCAGTTCAAATAATGGATTTTTTTTTACCAAAAATTATACAAATTAATCAATATGTATTAAGAATATGATTTTTTCTGATGGATCATCAAATTTGAAATATTTTGATTTAAACATTTTTTTAAAAAGAATTTTAATATATTCTTATATGTATATGTGCAGTTTTTATGAGTAAGAGGCCAAATTATGTCATTATTTATTTTATTTGTAAGTACATTGACAATCCATTTTCTTTATTTTTCAGGAGTATATTGCCAAACATTTTGCCTTCATGCAGAAACAGATAGGTTATGACGTGTTGGCAGAGGAGACGATTACGGCCCTGTTAAATAACAACAGGAAGTTGCTGGAAGCCCATATCACCAAACAGGAAATAGAGACGTTTGTTAGTCTCGTCCGCAAGAACAAAAAACCTAGGTTTGTCCTTTAGAAGGAGTACCAAATGAACTGCATTTGTTAAAAAAGGATTAATTTTACAATTTTGCATTCCATTATGTACTGTCTCATAAAAAATGTTTCTTAATTTATGTACATGTATATCGTACATATCAGATAATGACACAATTTAAAATGACTTTTTTGTAACTGAACATTTATTTGATAGTTGTAGCAACTATCAAGAGATGAATGATACATGTATATCTGTGAAATCTGTGCTTTGTAGATTTTTAGATTATCTCTATGTGCTGTGTGTCTCTAACAATGTGGCCATCCCAGCTACACAAGACCTCATCTGTAACTGTCTTCTATTGGAGGAAAACAAGGACATCCTCATAGAAACAAGGTTGGTACCATAGCAACAGTCAACATCACTAAATAGTCTTACAGTTTCATGTCTCTTGTGTTTCTACATCATCTTCCTGTATATAATTAGTTACATGTATGTTCCATTGGAATTCATTTTGTGTTACATTTCCGCATGTAGAAAATTTGCAGTGTGGAATCTGAATTTCATTTTCTTTATGCACTTGAATGTTTTGTAAACATTTTATGTAAATTTTGCATTAGAACGGAAACTAAGAGAAAAAATCCTAAGTAAGTATTTACATTTGTATCAAAGAGACAATTAAACTTAGTATTTAGTATTCTACATTTTCTCTGAAAGTATGCTTCTACAAATATGAAAAGCATGAATCTGTAGTGCAGAACAAAACATCAAGACAATAATGTCTAGATTTTTATTCAGTAATCATATTTATGTATCCAAATTCCTTTATTTTGTAGGAGTGTTCAATTTATTGATTATCTTTCTAGTAGTTTGTAATTATGTAATGTGCTCCTTCAGACATGATTATCCTTGAGTCAGTATTATACCCTATAGGACATTAACTTCTTTCAGTTTTCATGTATGCATGTCCTCATTAAGTAAATGTATAATTAACAAATATGTTAATTATTAATCACATAATATTATTATACATGACCTTTTTAATCATATTATACCAAACCTGTAGGAGAGGAACAGTCTTGGTGTCTTTACAACTCAGACAAATTCTATGTATAGGCAAAAACGCCATCATTCTGAAATTGACTGAATTCAAAATGTAGTTAATTGTTGCCAATTTGATCAAAGTGCTGTCTGATGTAAGGTGGTGACAAGGTAAATACCCTGGGTTTGATGAAAAGTTTTCCAGGATATTTTTCTCCAGATTGAAGAAAAGGCAACAAAAAGCCATCTTGCCAAAATTTCACATTGTAAGGTTGTCTTGTTTTATACATACCGGGGTAGTAATACATGTATTTACTTCAATGTTGGAGAGCTCATAGAGAAAAAAAGGTCCTTGTTCAATACAGAGTTGAATTATTCTAGATAATTTTATATTAGAAGGAGCTTCAGAGAATCAATTAAAGCTTTGTCCTCAGTTAACAATGTACAAGTTTGCTTATCTTTGAGTAGAGGTTAAAATTCAGAAAGAGCTTCTGAGAGCCATTTTTGTGATCTCCTCATTTACAAGCTAGCTGATGGATGGTCAGTATGTACTGGGGAAAATATTTACAAAATGAGATACTTCCTGTCAATAAAATTATGACAGCATTATGTTAATCAGTCTGTGTTTTGTAATTGTAAACCTTTAAAATAATGGAACAGAATATGTTGACAATTTCATTATTTTGCTGTGTGAATTGAAATCAACAGAATGAATCTTCTCTGGATTCCTATGGAGTTGATCATATAATCTGGATTCCAGTTAAAAGTGGATGTAAATCTCAATAATAACCACCAGTTCTCATTAAAATACTTAATCTAACATACATACTAATTTATAACATGGAAAAAGAATGTCATTAACAGTTTGTCTTCAATAATCTAACAGTTCTGTATAAAGTAGGAAATGAACGGTACATTTATATGCATGTCAAACACTAACGTGAATTCTTAATGATCCTCTCTCTTATATACTCCTGTACTGAATTATCTCCCCTATGTTTTAGATTGGAGAAGACACAGATGGAGGTGGAGATGGAGGTAGAGACGGCTGATGGAATCCCGGCCTCGGAGCCGATCGTCACCATTGAGGAGGATGAGGTCGTGATGTTATACTGGGACTGGGGGAACGGACCTAAACAGAAGAGTATCCAGGAACTAGCCGAGGCTCAGAGTGACCCAAAGGGGAACGAGGATGGGGGCGACGAGGACTCAGCTGTACTGGAGTATTACAGGTAAAACTCAGCTCAGAGGACTCGGCTTTACTCGAGTATTACAGGTAAAACTCAGCTCAGTGGACTCGGCTGTACTTGAGTATTACAGATAAAACTCAGCTCAGAGGAATAGGCTATAATCGAGTATTACAAGTAAAATTCAAATCAGAGTAATTGACCCAGAGGGGAAGGGAAAGGAGGTGATGTGGATTTGGCTGTACTCAAGTATTACAGGTAAAACTCAGCTCAGAGGAAAAGGCTGTACTCGAGTATTACAGGTAAAACTCAGCTCAGAGTGACCCAAAGAAGGAGGATGGGGGCAACAAAGACTGAGCTGTACTCAGGTATTACAGGTAAAACTAAACTCTGAGGAAATTCATTTTACAGACAAACTAGTGTGCATGGATTTTACTGTGCTAATAAGTATTAGTACAAAGTAGTGTGTACATGAACTGCTTTTAATGCATCCCAGGTTAAAGTCTATAAAGTGTGATGTTTTCCTACAAAGGTTACATGCACATAAATAACACAGGTCTGTGTTAAAGACCAAATGCAAGAACTTTCAAGTTTCTGACTAACTTTAAGAAGTAGTTAGCTATTCATTTTTTAGCAGCTAGCTTTTCAGAATTAGTCTGAAGATTTATTCTGAATGTTCACATGTTGATTTGTTACTCTGTATGCAGGCATCAACTAGATCTGTTTTCACACATGTGTCTGGATCGTCAATACATTGCCATTAATCAACTCTCCAAAGATCTGGAAATTGATCTGATTCTCAGGTGAGCTTGGACATCCCGTAGAGGTATTACCTGAAAGTTAACTTCATTTGAGATAACTTCATTAGAATTGTGTGTCTTATTTAATGATAAAGTGAATCAGTTGTCGATGTATAAAGAAAGTTTGATAATTTTAAAAGTAAAATATTATATTGATTTTAAGACTGAATTTCTAGTGTTGGTTATTGAATGAATGAAAAAATATAAACTTTTGGAATGATAAATAATGATACATTTGTCTGTGTTAAGAAATATTTAATATATCAACAATGTGTATGTCAGAAACAAGTCTGTAATATTTCTATATAAGGTGTATGTCAGATGAGATACTTCCCTATGACCTGAGAGCCTCGTTCTGTCGTCTGATGTTACACATGCACGTGGACCGTGACCCCCAGGAAATTATCAAACCTGTCAAGTACGCCAGATTGTGGTCTGAGATCCCAACTCAGATCTCTATAGAAGAGTGAGTTATCTCCCTTATTTCTATCCAGTTCTGATATTTTGGATATCATGTTAGATTCTAATGTTTTTATTTTTCAGTATTTTTAGCATTTTAACTTTTCTTGATGATTTTGATTGAACTTGAATATCTGTTGTCTTACATGTATTTTTGAATTTTTCATTAAATTAAATTTTGTTATCTGTTGCATGAATATGTTAATCCACTTGTAAAAAGATTGCTAACTGACTGATTGCAACCATTAAGAAGAAGGCTTTGTTCTATATATTGGCAGCACTCACAGTGTTGGTGATTGGTTGATATCAAAAGTAGATCTTAAATTATATCATTGCTTCATTTTTTGGAGGAGTGTGTGTGTGTGGAGGGGGGAGACTTATGAAGTCAAGTGATTCTTAACACATAATTATAAATATATTATGGATAATCAATAGAGTTCAAATAGATAGAATTAATGATGAGGAATGATCTGTGGATCTCTTAGTACAGAGAATTAACTGTATTTCAGATACGATAATATTGAAAGTGAGAAGTACGTCCATCACTAAGAAACACTGTTTGACTTCACTTTTATCCTTCAAGTGTTTAAAGTTTTAACTGTCAGATATATAATATGTTTTTCAAGCTGTCACTTCTGCGTGTGCAATATATACTGTCAATGTACAGCATACAAGTAGATTTTAGTTAGTTAACATGACTAACACAGTTGTGCTGTATCCAAGTCTGACTTGTGTCATTTGGTTTTTTCCTCATTCATAACATTTAATCTAACATATACACTGCTTGGTTTTTTGGACACTGTAAAATAAAGGTTTTAATATAATTTTTAAACTGTCTTTCTGTAAAGTTGCTAAGAAGTCCATAGGGACTTTACAAATTATATCAGTTACATAGATTTTCATAATTCTCAGTGACTGTGTAGTCTATTCATTAATGTACATGTAGATCAATTCTAACTTGAATTACAAGACATAGTGAATTATTTGTTTTTACAATTACTACTCTTGAATTTCACATTGAAATCACATCCTGAGCAAATAATTTCAGTGTGATAAAATCTGTAGCAAATTCATAATATTTTAGAAGGAATAATCTCATCATTGTGTCTGAAAGCAACCATTCAAAATATAATTATACACTTTTAATACATGCAATTTTTATTGTTTACCACAAGTACTGAGTCAGTTTTGGTGTTACAGCTATGAGTCCAACATTGGTAAGGACCCAGAAAAAGAGAGAGTGAAGCCAAAGTTTGCCTCCACTATTCTCTTTGTGGAGGACTACCTGCTAAATGTGGTGTCGCATGATGGAGCATTTGCCGACAAGAAACAAAACAAACTGACGTACGAGGTAAGCATTAGACGACAAGAAACAAAACAAACTGACGTACGAGGTAAGCATTAGACGACAAGAAACAAAACAAACTGACGTACGAGGTAAGCATTAGCCGACAAGAAACAAAACAAACTGACGTACGAAGTAAGCATTAGACGACAAGAAACAAAACAAACTGAGGTACGAGGTAAGAAGAATCACAAACTGTCTGGGGAGGGGAGGGAAAGGGGGAGGTAGATTGGCAGTATTGTAAATTAAGTAGTAGTACTTCATGATCAGGGGAACTTGTATCAGCTGTTACTTTTATGATTTATTTATATGCCATGAACACAGGTGCTTGTGGACAGGAGAGTTTTGAGAGAGTTTTGGCCTGACGTAATAATCTCTCTCGGGTGTTATCATAATAGGTAATATATATTCTCTATGCACTTCTGTTGCGTTTACCTAAGGATTTTTCAATGCACTGACTGCAATGCTGTTTAAGGAGAAATTGTGGGATTCTTATGAGATGCAGGGTCAATCCGATAGTAGGAACTAAGACAGAAATATATGTAGAGACAGTGTTAACCGACATTTAAGGTTAAAATAAAATAAATACGTTTTTAAACCCAGAAAGACCAGTGGGGTGCAACGTAAACAAATTTTTTGTGAACGATTATTTTGGGGTTTTCACGATTTTTATGCCCCGCCATGAATATGGCCGGGGCATATAGTGTTTGTCATGTCCGTCTTCCGTCCTTCTGTCCTTCCGTCTGTCCTTCCGTCACACTTTGCGTTTAGCTCTGTTCAAAGCTCAGTTTCAAAGAAACTATCCAAGATATTTTTATCAAACTTCATATGCTGATAGATATTGATGAGGGCTATGCAACTGCATCAACATTTTTTGACCTTGACCTTTCCTTTGACCTTGACCTCACTTTTCTTAAATTAGTGTTTAGCTCAGTTTTAAAGATACCATTCAAGATAGTGTAATCAAACTTCATATGTTGATACATACTGATGTAAGCTATTCAATTGCATCAACATTTTTTGACCTTGACCTTTATTTTGACCTTGACCTCACTTTTCTTAAATTAATGTTTAGCTCTGTTTTAATGAGACCATTCAAGATATTTTTAACAAACTTCATATGCTGATACATACTGATGAGAGCTATTCAACTGCATCAACATTTTTTGACCTTGACCTTTCCTTTGACCTTGACCTCACTTTTCTTAAATTAGTGTCAAACTTCATATGCTGATACATACTGATGAGAGCTATTCAACTGCATCAATATTTTTTGACCTTGACCTTTCCTTTGACCTTGACCTCACTTTTCTTAAATTAGTGTTTAGCTCAGTTTTAAAGAAACCATTCATAATATTTTCATCAAACTTCATATGCTAATACATACTGATGTAACCTTTTCAACTGCATCAACATTTTTTGACCTTGACCTTTCCTTTGACCTTGACCTCACTTTTCTTAAATTAGTGTCAAACTTCATATGCTGATACATACTGATGAGAGCTATTCAACTGCATCAATTTTTTTTTACCTTGACCTTTCCTTTGACCTTGACCTCACTTTTCTTAAATTAGTGTTTAGCTCAGTTTTAAAGAAACCATTCATAATATTTTCATCAAACTTCATATGCTAATACATACTGATGTAACCTTTTCAACTACATCAACATTTTTTGATCTTGACCTTTCCTTTGATCTTGACCTCACTTTTCTTAAATTAGTTTCTGAATCAAACGTCATATGCTGATACATACTGATGTAAGCTATTCAACTGCAGCAATATTTTTTGACTTTGACCTTTCCTTTGACCTTGACCTCACTTTTCTCAATTTGTGTTAAAATGATGCATTACTAATATACCCTTGGCGGGGCATTCATGTCCTATGGACATATTTCTAGTTTCCTATGGTACACATGATGAATAAGTGCAATTAATATAATTTGTGGAAAAAAATTCCACCAACAAGCCCCGGGGTTGAATAATGGGGGGGGGGGGGGGGTCCTGTCCACAGGTACCTGTGGCCATGAACTCCAGTAATGTTCTTGATAGGCCAGTGGTCAATTTAATACAATTCATCCTGGTTGACTTTTATAGACAGCATATATTTATCATGATAACTGATTCTTAAAAACACAGTGTTCTGCAGAACTTTTAGGCAATATTTATACTAAACACAAGACTTCAAACATTACTGTTGGCATTATTTAAATATTGTAATATTTACATGTACATGATTGTATATATAAAAATAGGAGAGTAGCATCTGGTTAATATTAATTGATTCCTTAACATTCATCAGTAACCTTGACATAACCTTGACCTTTGCCATTTGTTCTTTGTTACAGGTGGTTAACCTTGCCAAGCAGTTGATTTACTTTGGTTTTTACTCGTTCAGTGACCTCCTCAGGCTGACGAAGACACTGCTAAGTATACTGGACACCATCCCCGAGAAAGAGATCTCCCCCGCCGCCCGACCGGTAGTCTCTGTGGGGGACGGTAGGTGGACCAAAAATGTGATATAATTTTTTATTGACATAAAGACTTCTATTCTATTTTAAATTATGCTGTCCAGATCTCAGAAACTTAGAAGATGTGGAATTTTTAGTGTATTTTATAAATTAAGGCTTAGAATAGAAATAAACTTTGTATTTACGGAATGATGTAAGATAGGTTCACAAAATGATAGGCCCAAGTTTTTATGATAATAATTATTATTATATCATCACAAGTTCATTCATCTTTCTTTATGTTCCTTAGAACCTGACAAGACCATCATATCAGAGGTGATTCCCGCCACTAAAAAGGTCGAAGAGGAAGTGGATACAATCGTCATGGATACCAAACTTAAAATTATAGAAATCCTTAAGGTATTTTTACACACAAACTATATAATCTCTGGTCAGTTTCCAAAGCATTATATACATATATCAAAATAAAATCAGATTAAAGAAATTAACTCTTAACACAGCTATTAAAAATTATGATGGCTTTTTATTTTTATTTATTTATTTATATATGTTTGGTTACATTGATTTAATATATATTAAGTCTTTATTAGAAGAGGGCTCATTTATATTATGTACATGCACTTTTTCTGTAATTAATTATTGTTGATGCTCAGTAATTCCTAAACATTTTATTAGAATTTTCTTTGTTGTTATGGCTGTTGATCTTTTTTCATCATAATGTTTATTTTAATTCTTAATTTTAGTTAGCTAGATCACTTAATATTCTTAATAATACTGGGAAAAAACATCAAGGAAAAATTCATGCCTTTGCAATTCAGAATTGCAAACAATTATAACCCTGTTCTGTCCTTGTCATTTAATGTAATGCAGTAAATGATGCTGTGAGAAATCAGAATATTGTTTGCTCAGTAATTATAGGCAATATTCTCTGCATTATCCTTGGACAAAAATCTGAAAATAGCCCTTTTTGTACACATTGAAAAGTTACTCTATCTCATATACATTAAATGTCTGATGGGTACAGATTTTGAATTCATTGAGTGTGTTTTCAGTTTATTTTGGATGTTCGACTGGATTACAGAATTACATGTCTTCTCTCAATATTTAAACGAGAATTTGATGAGAATAACGCACCAAGGGACACGGATGGTAAACACAGCCAGAATATCTATTACTTGCTTTATGCTTCACTACAACTAACAAAATTGAACAAAAAATGCAGGTCATGACCTTTTCATAACATTCTAGATATATTTCAATTGAATAATTTACATCAGGAAATATGATAATTATATATTACAAAGACTTAATTTCCCTTTTGTTCAAAAGAGTAATTAGGTCAAGGTGAAAAGGTCATGACCCTCTGCTCCCATATAGCTCTGTTGATTTTCAGGTGTTTATGTTGGGTTGTGTGTATAAGGTTGCTGCATAGCATATGGACTTGACCTTGTTGCCTGTCAACATAACCTCTCCCTTTTATGCTGACATGACTACCAAATGCATTATTGATCCTATTATAAATAAAACCATATTCAAGATATAAGCATGTACCAACACATATTTCTCTTATGTACCTGTACGAGGGGTTATCAAAAAGTTCGTGGACTAGCGCCATAAAATTAAAACCACTTTAGGTACTTCAATGAATTTTTACACATTTAGTTAGCATCATCTTTTCTATCTATAGAATAAACCTTACATCATAAAATTTATTTTTCAAATAATTTGTTAATGCTTTTGTAAGCAATGGTATGTCTAGGCGGCGCAACCTCAAATATGACGTTTTTTCTACCTGAGTGTAACTGAAAAAAACTCTTGTAATATGAGCATTTATCATAGAAAAATCCCGCAAATTGAGGCATTTTGGTACAACACAAATTTTCCGTAAATTTTGCTATTTTTATCCCATTCTCCAAATTCTATGAAATTTTATTGTAAATTTTATATAGACTGTCCAAACAATTAACTGCTTGAATATGACGTCAAAAGGGGGGAGGGGTTTCTTTTTCCAACATTCTATAAAGTTTCGCACCTGGAAAAACTGGTATAGACCTAGGGAATGTTTGAATGGGCTACAGAAAAGTAAAGTGCATCCAGAGTACTCGTTTTAAATACCCAAAAAGATTCAGAAAGATGAAAGATGCATAGTTAATGTCGATTTGTAGTCAGGGTGTCAAAGGTCAGTCACGTCAAAAAGTTAGTGGTAGAATATGAACTCCAACAAGCTAAGTATTCTGGCATAATCAAGTGAGGATCTTTCCCTATGTTTAGACTCATTTACAATAAAAAGTATTATGTATATGCATTGGAAGCAGTTGGTCATGACATTGTAGTCATATAAACAAGACAGGCTTAAGTCCTTACTTACAACTCCAGGTAATCTCATCAATAAGTGTATGATGTAGAGAGAGCGGACATTGAGAAACATTTACGTTATCGGACGTCATGAAACTAATCAGCGACAGCGCTGGGTGATCATATAATGTCTTTTTTATTTTAAAATAATTTGGCAAATAATCAACGTATCAAGCTAAAACTTTCAACATTTCTTAAACTTTTGTTGATTTATGTTCCTTATAAATTTTGTGAGCACAGACTACATAGTATTAATTTTATCGCATCAGTCCACGAACTTTTTGATAACCCCTCGTATATCCCTTCGCCTATTGTGAGGGTGCTCTTGGGTTTTTTACAGTACATGATGTGCTTTATTGTGGTTTATTTTCAGTACTTAATGCAGGTGCGTTTGGACTACCGCCTCACATGGATTCTCTCTATGTTTAAATGTCAGATCGAGCAGCAGCCAGCAGACGAAAAGTCCGACGTTATTTGTGGGTTCTCAGCTGTTTCATGACCAGAATTTCCTCTGAACTAATTCTTATTAATGTTCAGTTTAATCAATGAAAGTAAAAAAAATTAAGGATTAATGAAGGGGTGGATTTCTTTAGAATTTATAATCAAAATGCTTTTGTTAGTTCAGAGGAATATGATGTTGTAGTGGCCAATTTTTGTGCTGGTTCCCTGCTCCCGTATATTTGTTGTCAATGGTTAATTAGGAATATGTGTAACTTAATGCTTAATTTGGTTGATATTGTTTTAGGCTAGAGTTATCTATTCTGCCCACATAAGCATCAATATCTGTACTAACGTCCTATGCACACAGTCTGGTACATATGTACTTATTTGTGACCTTCATGTGGATTAATTACAATCCATTTAATTCAGAGTAGTTTAATATTCTGGAATCAATTTGTTTCCTTTTATTATTTTTATTTAAAAAATTTAACTAAGTTTCCCTTCATATTCTGAATCAAAAGACACAAATATTCAGTTGGAGTTTATGCATATTCATATCTTTCTTTATTCATTCGTCTTTTTTTTTGGCAATTAATCTATTTGGTGCACTTTATTTCGTCTTTGAATTGCACTGCATGCATTAACTTAGTGGCATTTTTAATTTCATTATAAATCTGGGTTTATCAGAATATCTTAATGTGCTACAATTTACTTTATATTAATTTCTACGGACTTTCTTTCTACTCAAATTGTTCATTTTAAAGCATTTTTGAGCTTAGTTAAGATTGGCAATGCTGAACAAATTTTATTTTCTTCACAACACAAAATCTGAATTGATTTGACAAGTCCTTATCAACTTATCAGAGACTTTACTTAGTCACAAGCTTGACTGTTTCCTGTTGTAGGCCTAGACTTGGACAGTATTGGACAGCAAGCAGAGGACATCTTTGGAGGAAAGTAAGGATTTACGTCTTGTTTTTTTCATGGTCATAACTATTGAGCTGTGGGAGACTTCATATTGGGTGAAGGTCATACTTTAAAGGTCAAAAGTGCAGAAATTTACTGTAGGAGGTTGCATGTGCATCTGTGTGTGTGTGTGAGGGGGGTGGGGGTAGGGGTGATTATTATCAGAAGTATTTCTTTTTGTGTTTGAATGAACTCTTATGGAGAAAGGAAGACAAGTACTTGCATCTATGAAATGATCATACTCTTGTTACCATAGATTTCGTAACATATGCATATTACTATGTATTCTATGAACAGACCAACTCGTGAAAGAAAATTACTAGTCTTACCCTTTATTGTCATATTTCTGATATAAGCGTTAGAACTTTTGATTAATAATCTACTCACAAGTTCATCATCTAAGGATTAAACAGTCAGTGAGTCATTTTAGAATCTAAAGTACTTGACTTATAACATAAGGAATCTGCAGTATGTATAATGTAATGTTTTCTGCAGATTGAGAACAACATACAAAATTGATACTTTTGAAGCTTATTTCAGATAAAGATACATATTGATAGGTAGAAGCCTCATATAGAACTGCAATAAATGAAACTAATGCCCTAATACATTCTATATCGTCATAAGAGATTATTTTCTGTGTTGATCAGTGCTGAGACCTCCAAGCTGGACCTGGACGAGCAGGGAGGGAAGATGTTCCTGAGGGTGTTACTAAATCTAGTGATGCATAACTACCCGACCCTGGTGTCAGGGGCCCTACAGCTTCTGTTCAGACACTTCAGTCAGAGGCAGGAGGTTCTCATGGCATTCAAACAGGTGAGTAAAAATTAAGGATGTCAACGAGTACCCTGTTAATCGGGTACTCGATCGAACATCCGAGTATCGAATACTAATAATGGCACTCGGTTACTCGGATGTGTATTTTTTCTTATTTCAAAGTACATATTTTTATCAAAAATTTATCAAAAATAACTTAAATATGCATACTGGTAATTAGCGTGTCGTCATCTACACCTATAAAACACCCGATATCACCTATGGCTGAGTATATACGGTAATTAATGACCAATCATCTGGTACACAGCAGTTCTCACCTATTGTGGTCCTTAATTTTTGGATGGCTTCAATGATTGTTTTTCAGTAAACATTGTTTAAGTATGGTCTATTATATTCAAATCGTTTTTACCTTATTTAGTTAATATACGGCAGCAAAATCGGACGTGCATAGAAATGCTGCATCCCACTCCAAAATACGTAAAGATTCAAAAAAATGTTTAAAGTCAGTTTCCATAGTAAGTTTAGTGCATACGAGGGAAACAACCAACTATGAAAAAATATTAGACTAGTGATCCCAACAACGGCCGTTTCTTCTCTTTCGCTAGTCTAATCATTACAAACCTGCATAACAGATTATCCTCTTTTTGCATTGATGAAATAGATCCTAAACATTTGTAATTTTTTATGTATTCATTGCGTCATTTGTGTTTATTTAATAAATAAATTTAGTACCAAAAATCATTTCGTTGGACTCCATGTTTATATAAATTCATAAAAGGTGATAAAAACAGCCCTGGGGTTTAACAAATTAACAATTAAAAATTAACATTTCTAATTTTACTGAGTTACCGGGTACTCGATCGGAAAAATGTCGAGTAACCGATCATCAAAAGTTGACCGATTTGACATCCCTAGTAAAAATATCAAAAACACACAGGTGTGTCAAAATATCAAAATAAACAGGTTGTAAAACCTACAAAATTGTACAGGTGTTTAAATCCACAGAATCGAACAGCTGGTAAAACCTACAATATAAACAATTCTTTAAAACCCACAGAATCAAACAGGTATGTAAAACCGATAAAATCATACAGGTGTTTAAACCTACAGAATCAAACAGGTTTATAGAACCTATAAATCAAACAGGTGTTTAAAACCCACAGAATCAAACAGGTTTATAAAACCCACAGAATCATGCAAACAGGTTTATAAAACCCACAGAATCAAACAGGTGTGTAAAACCTACAAATCTCAAATGGTCACTTCATTCCATCGTCTTTTACAGGTTCAGCTGTTGGTGACGGCCAGTGATGTGGAGAACTACAAACAGATAAAGACTGATCTAGATGAACTCCGAAATCTTGTTGAGAAATCGGAACTGTGGGTCTACAAGGTCAAACATGACGACAGCAAGAAAAAACACAAAAATAATGGGGAAGATAAGGTAAGGGCTTATAAGATGTAAGGGGGTGTTAAATGTAAGAGCAGGGTGGTAGATGATGTAACCATTTCTCAGAAAAATATAGTGTTCTTCAAATAGCAGCATTTGTATCAGATTGATTTTTTTTTTATTTCAAGTATTATTAACTTAGGAATATACAGTGTATGTGTTTTTTAATCATTGTTAAAGGAGAACAAAGAAGAAAAGGGTGAAGGAGAAGGAAAGAAGAAATCCAAACATCAGCTGTCCATGTGGGTAAGTACACTGGATGTAGTAAGTACACTGGATGTAAGTGCAGGATGTTGACCTAGAAGAATGAACAGTGAAAGGCAAAATGTCGAGTACACATAGTGAACGAGTAGATTGACTTTATTTTAAAGACTTTTGTATTTGATTTTTGTAGAACCTGTCCGGAGAGCGGGGGTCAGCTATTGACCTAGATTTAGGACCACCAATAGATCCTACATCAGCAGAAAACTATAAAAAAATCAAACAGGTAAATCTGCCTAAGCTGATTAAATTTTAAAAAAAATTTGAATGCTTGCAAGTAGATTTGTCATATTGTTTTAGTAAAAATGAACATCTGTTTGACAGCTAGATCTTTCATTAATCATTACAGATCTTGTTGAGGCTGACTAAACTGTGTATCCAGGACACAGCAGAGCCTGGTGTTAAGAAACCGCGGAAACATGAACAAAGACTACTGAGGAACATGAGCGCTCCTAATGTTGTTCTGGAATTACTGCAGATTTCTTATGAAACAGTAAGAGAAATTTTCATGTATATAATGGGAGTAGCTTTTTATTATCCCCTTGCAACAAAGTGGAGGGTGTATAGTAACTCACTTGTGAGTATATTAGTTAGTGTATAAAAGAAGTAATAATTACTTTTATTTGGAATCATCATTTGTGCTATTGCGAGGGGGGTGCTCTGCTTTGCATTGCCCTTATCTTAATTCAGTTCAAGATGTGAATGTTTTAAATATGAAGATAACGAACAGTATTCGATCTCAAAGGCCAATGAAACGATACAGATTTGGAGCAGAGCAAACACGGACCTCAAAATTTAGAGGTGAGATCAGGTGCTATTGAGGAGTGAGCATCCTGTACCGTCCGGTCACACACATCCATAAAAGTTTTGTTTAAGATTTGTTTTCAGAACAAAAACTGTCAACAGCAAAAAAAAAAATCATATTAAAATAATTTTGCCTCTAATTGGAAACTCAGAAAACAAACAAATTGTGGGAAATTGTTTCAATGTTACAATCTGAGAGCGGACATATTTCTTATACTGTTAGTAATAAAAATTTTCTGATTTTATTTAACTAGCTGGGTGTTAATATGTTTACTTGTAGACTGAGGATGTGAGAATGCATGAAGTGATGAAGTATGCTCACGAGTTCCTGCAGAGTTTCTGTCTGGCTAATCCTCCAAACCAGGCTCTACTGCACCAGTATCTAGAACTCTTCCTCACCCCAGGGGTAAGAACTCAAGTATCTTTTAGACCCTTGGTTTCTGTGTATCTATCAAAAATGATGTAATTTTCTGGCTAGTCAATGCATTATGACATCATGAATTGTGTCATTTTCCCTATGTCCTGAAAAATTCTATAACCCTAACCCTTCGATTAAATTCATATTTTTCATAATTCATATTTTTATTCTTTGCTGAAAGTACTCAAATACACTGTAAACCTTTTTTCTTTAAAATTCAAGAACATTGCAATTTCACAAAGCCTGTTATCCAATACCTGTACTTTCAGAAGAAACTTTTTTAATAGGAAATGAAAGCACTAAGTCTCTACTTTATCTTGATGTTTGAAATGGAACATAGGGTTGTTAGTCAATAAATTGGTATATCTACAGGGCCATTTTAAGTATATAGTGAACCTAACTCTTTATAATGATATCATAGACAGAGATAAAATGATCTTTCCTGTCCTTTAGCTGTTGGATGCTGAGACGATGACGGCTATTTTCCACGACAACAAGAGCCTGTGTAACGAGGTTACAGAGCGTGTCATTCAGCACTTTGTCCACTGTATAGAGACTCAGGGCCGACACGTGCCCTACCTAAAGTTCCTACAGACAGTTGTAAAGGCAGAAGGAGAGTACATCAAAAAGACCCAGGATATGGTGATGGCTGAGGTATTGTTAAACAATGTCTTTGTATTTAATTTTTAGCTTATGTCTTTGTATTTAATTTTTTAGTCAGTGTCTCTGTATTTATTTGTTAGTCTAAGATTCATGTATCTTTTTAGTTGATAGACCAAGAGTCTATCTGTTTATTTAGTTAGACAGTCTGTGTAGTAAAATCCTGAATTTCCTTGAAGTACAAAGCCACTAAATCAGAAATGCAGAATCAACTGTGAAAGAAGACGGACTCTAGTTATCTTTACATACAGAATATAATTCTAGATGATGAAAGAAGACGGACTCTAATTATCTTTACATACAGAATATAATTCTAGATGATGAAAGAAGACGGACTCTAGTTATCTTTACATACAGAATATAATTCTAGATGATGAAAGAAGACGGACTCTAGTTATCTTTACATACAGAATATAATTCTAGATGATGAAAGAAGACGGACTCTAGTTATCTTTACATACAGAATATAATTCTAGATGATGAAAGAAGACGGACTCTAGTTATCTATACATACAGAATATAATTCTAGATGATGCACTAGCTGTTAAAAAAATACTGAACCCAAAATAATAGTGAAAAATGTTTCTCACTTATTCACAGAAGTCCATAAATCTGAATTACAGTATAAATATGATGTTTTACAGTGGTTATAATCACTACATTTCTGTATTTTTAGTTGGTGAATGTCGGTGAGGAGGTCCTCCTATTCTACAATGATAAGACCTCCATTAGCTATAATCACTACGTTTCTGTATTTTTAGTTGGTGAATGTCGGTGAGGAGGTGCTCCTATTCTACAATGATAAGACCTCCATTAGCTATAATCACTACGTTTCTGTATTTTTAGGTGGTGAATGTCGGTGAGGAGGTGCTCCTATTCTACAATGATAAGACCTCCATTAGCTATAATCACTACATTTCTGTATTTTTAGTTGGTGAATGTCGGTGAGGAGGTGCTCCTATTCTACAATGATAAGACCTCCTTTAGTTATAATCACTACAATTCTGTATTTTTAGTTGGTAAATGTCGGTGAGGAGGTCCTCCTTTTCTACAATGATAAGACCTCCATTAGCTATAATCACTACATTTCTGTATTTTTAGTTGGTGAATGTCGGTGAGGAGGTCCTCCTATTCTACAATGATAAGACCTCCATTAGCTATAATCACTACATTTCTGTATTTTTAGTTGGTGAATGTCGGTGAGGAGGTCCTCCTATTCTACAATGATAAGACCTCCTTTAGTTATAATCACTACATTTCTGTATTTTTAGTTGGTGAATGTTGGTGAGGAGGTGCTCCTATTCTACAATGATAAGACCTCCATTAGCTATAATCACTACATTTCTGTATTTTTAGTTGGTAAATGTCGGTGAGGAGGTCCTCCTTTTCTACAATGATAAGACCTCCTTTAGTTATAATCACTACATTTCTGTATTTTTAGTTGGTGAATGTAGGTGAGGAGGTGCTCCTATTCTACAATGATAAGACCTCCATTAGCTATATTCACTACATTTCTGTATTTTTAGTTGGTGAATGTCGGTGAGGAGGTCCTCCTATTCTACAATGATAAGACCTCCATTAGCTATAATCACTACATTTCTGTATTTTTAGTTGGTAAATGTCGGTGAGGAGGTCCTCCTTTTCTACAATGATAAGACCTCCATTAGCTATAATCACTACATTTCTGTATTTTTAGTTGGTGAATGTCGGTGAGGAGGTGCTCCTATTCTACAATGATAAGACCTCCTTTAGTTATAATCACTACATTTCTGTATTTTTAGTTGGTGAATGTCGGTGAGGAGGTCCTCCTATTCTACAATGATAAGACTTCCTTTGAGACCTTTGAGAAGTTGATGCGATCTGAGCACGACCTTTGTGATCCTGCCAGCCCTCTCATCTACCACATTAACCTGGTTCAGCTATTAGCCCTGTGTACAGAGGGAAAAAATGTGTATACCGAGATCAAGTGTCACTCTCTACTCCCATTGGATGATATTGTTAGAGTGGTCACTCATAAGGACTGTATTCCAGAGGTAAGCAGGCACCACTGCCATGTATGATTTTCATTCAGTTGTGCTCAATGTTGTAATGGGTTCTAAAAATAAAATTTCAGACATTTTGGACCAGATCTGTGCTACATGTTATTAATTACATGAGAATTATATTCAATATGAATCCTGTATGCAAGAATAAAGGTATAACAAAGGAGTCTTCATTATAATGTATTTCATGCAGAAAAAGTAAAATTACTTGCATTTAGACAGCAAAGAACAGAATTTGTGTTGATTTTGATATGATTTGTTTGATGCCATTTTATCTGTAGGTGAAGACAGCATACATAAACTTCCTGAACCACTGTTATATTGACACGGAGGTAGAAGTGAAGGAAATCTACACCAGTACTCACATGTGGACACTGTTCCAGGACTTCCTGGATGACATGGGCAGGGTAGGTAACTCTATACAGAAAAAAGCTGTGATCTGTTCATGGGCAGGGGAGATAACTCTTTGTCATATTTATAGAAAACCATTCATATGAGCTTTTCTTTGGTACAAATAAAATTGTTGTGTTACACAATCTATTGTTTGTATTGTCTTGAATCTTTCTACCCTACATTTGTGTGATTTATATACTAGATTTTTAAATGATGTATTGTATGAAAGAGATGTGTAACATAAAGAGTAATTTTGTAGGTTTCAACAGCAACCACGGACAGGAAACACGCAGACCTTGCCCTGGAGAATTACGTGACGGTCACCATAATGAATGTAATAGACACATTCTTCAGCTCACCCTTCTCCGATCAGACAACGACATTACAAGTAAGTTCCATCCCGAAACATAGGAAGCGAATCAGTAGATGTTGGTCTTAATGTAAACAAAGATTATCTCTATAAGTCAGTACTCCTGGTTGTTGTATCTTATATTTGTTCTCTTTTCCTCTATCAGAGATCAGTAAGTATTGGATGTGTTACCCCTCTGTCTGTGTGTGTCAGTGTACATATATATATATTATATATACACAGTCTCTTATTTACTTCTACTTGTCCAGATATCTTTTTTGTTGAAATTGTTTGACTTGAATACTGTATATTTAACGTCATGTCAAGTCCAATGAAATGAAAGAAGTTTCTATAAAAAAAAAATATTCATCAAGGGGGAAGAACCCACATTGTGTTGAAATTTTCTTCTTCTTCGCCTGACTGGAGCTTTAATTTGAGTGCAGAAATAAGAAATTTTAAAAGCCAGAGCATTTCAGTGGACAGTTACAAATACTACAGATTAATTGTTTTAGAGTAGAATTGTTAACTTGTACAAGTGACAAGTCTAAACTTGTAGTGCTTTATTGTTCCAGGATGTATGTACGAATGCAGGTTTTTATTTTCATGCCAGCTAAACATTATCTCGTAGTGAAGCAGAACAAACCAGTCTCTGCTTGTCTATTTAATATCATGTATATTTCATATTTAAACATTAATGATCAGCAATTAAACATTGAGGCCTTTTTCTTTGCATACTTTATCTTGTCTTTTGACAAACTACTAAGACGTAATTTAATGTACCAAGCTATTCTGATCATAGATATTTCTCTTTTAATTTTTCTTCCTTCTTTGCTGAATAGGAAGGGGAGGTACAGTTTATGCCTTCTTCTAAGTCTAGTTATCTCCCTTGAAGTATTAAAATAGCACCTGATACTACAGAACTAGAACTCACACACTACATTATTCTGATGTTAAAGTAGAACTACTAGTGCATAGGATAAATTCAGTCTTTATTCCCCTTTGATGCATTAGTACTGACTTGATTTTACAAAACCAAACACATTGCACTGATTTGTTTAATGTTCTTATTCTCAGTGAAACTAGTCTTCCCTCACACTAGACTTGTATGTAGCCAGAGTAATTCTCCTCTCACTGACCAGCTCACCATTATTAGTTACTATTTGTTCCTTAATTAAATCCACAGAGTGCTTTTCAATTCCCTGCAGCACCACAATCATTTTAATTTATTTAAGAAACGTACTCAGTAAGACATAAGTCAGTAGTTTAAAGGATACATTGATATAATTGTATTTTGAATGTTTAAAGATCAACATGGAAACATGTTATTAGTCTTAATTAATGTCAAATCAATCACTGTGTGCGTCTTATTTGAAATTTGTTTTGTGGTATTTTATAAAGATCCCCTGAGCTAGAGGTTAAAGTGAGCTGTTTTGATAAAAGTTTGTCTTGGCAGTCTGGATGTTTGTTCTATATTTCACCATTGTCATGATTTCAGACTGAATCAACACATCCAGTGTCACTAAGAGTCTGGGTGGATTTTAGTCTTGGCAACTGTCTCTCTGCTTGTTTTGTATGCTCTATATACTGCTCATGACACGGTTTTTAAACATAATCTGTAAAACCAATAGACCACTTTCAACCAAATTTGGCAACATTCTTGATTGAAGAGGATGAAATTTTAATTACATGTAATATGCTCCTTTGAAAGTGAGATTATTGACCAAAAGTTAGGAAGTGAGTACTCTTAAGAACCACTGTGCAAAAAATTGATGTTTTTTATTGTATTAGTGTATTAATAAAGATTATTAAAATTTGGTTCCAAGGGATAGGAATTAAGGAGCCATGGTAGGATATAAAATTTTGTGGTATGTGAGGGGGGAAAAACTGAGAAAGTTTTTCTTCTCAAGAAGAGCAGGACTGCTTGACTTAAATGAGTATACAAGATCCACAGAGATGATATGGAATAAAATTTGTCCAAATCATGGCCCCATTGACAAGGGTTTGTCTTTAAAAGGGAACAACAGATTTGTACAGAATTTAATAGAACAGCAATGTTATTGCAGTAGTTGAAAATTTTACTTCATAATAGTGTAATTTAAAATCATTTTAATCATGGACTTTAGGTTGAGGGCCAAAATAATTCATTGGACATATGGATTTTCATATGTCATTGACAGGAATAGATAGGGGACTCAGGTGAGGGTTGTGGCCCATGGGCCTATATTTATAAATTGTAAATCTATATTAACTACAAGTGTGATACTGATGACAGTGAAAGGGTATGATACAAGTTGTAAGTGTACATGTATATTAAAGTAGGAATTTAAGGTATACTTATGAACATGAAGTATTAGTGAGTGTTTCATGTTTTAGTGTAAAATTGAGATTTGATTGTTAATCTATTATATGTATTGGTTTGATGCTGTATTCTTTATTTTAATCAGAGATGTATAATTATATACTATGGACATGGCTACAGTGCTTTTTGTGGATAATATTCCATGCATTTAATATTATTGCCAGAAAATGGACAATTTATAGGTGTATCTTGTGCATGACTGTGAATTATTTTTGTGATTAACTGCATAAATTATTTGTTTTGTAATTGTTGATAGAAAGAATTGATTTTTCTTTGGATTTAATTTTTTTTTTGAAACTGTATGCTTAGATTGGCCTGCTTTTAAGTTTTATGGAGTTTTTTAACTTGAAGTTAGAATTCTGTTGTTGATGTCAGAAATGTGAAGAATTAATTATAGTGCAGATTGAAACCCCCTGAAATGCATGACCTTGACAAACCTTAATTTGGATTAAGATCTAAAAATCATTTTTGCTTTAGTTTTCTTTATGTTAATGAATGCCCCTAGCTTTTAGCAAATTTTAATAGCACTTTTTAAAAATGTATTTTAATCTAAAATTTATTTGCTTCTTGAACAATACAAGAAAGTTCCATTGTAATGAATTTGACTTGATATTTGATTTTAAATCTTTTGAATGACAAACAGAGTGCTCAGTTTATACAGTCATGTATCTAATATTTCAGAGAATGTGGTTGAATTCTTTTCTTTTTATTTTGATAATACATGTACAGTGTGTATATGCATGCCACAGGGCATTGAAAATTGAATTAAATAAGATTGTATAAAATGTCTGTGATGTTAGAGCAGCCACTAATCTGTCTTTGTGTGGGCGTTTGTTGTAGTCGAGGCAACCTGTGTTTGTAAAGCTGTTACAGGGAGCGTTTCGAGTGTCCGACTGTCCGTGGTTGACCGGCACTCAGAAGTACCACGTGGAGACCTGCATTAAGTGCCTAGCTGACATCGGTAATATCACTGAGTTTTTGTTGTGTTTGGTTATAAATATTTTATTGCTTGAAGATTTCATTGTTTACACAGTGTGTAGAGCATAAGAATCTCATTGACTATATATATCCATGCATTAATTGCACAATAGTTAATTTCCTGTGCAGTGTATAAGAAGATTTCAATTTGTTTATTTACAGCTAAAAACCGAGGAATAGCCATTCCTGTAGACCTGGACAGTCAAGTCAATCAAATGTTTGAGAAATCCAACAATGTGATGAACAAAGCGAAACTATGGATCAATTCAAAACTCAACAAACGCGAGTCTATAGCCTCAGTGTCCAGGGACTATCGCAATATAATTGAGGGTCTACAGGTATAAATTTTGATGTCCTTTTTGCAAGTGAAACCTGGATATTCATACAGGGTCTTTTTTTTTTTTTTTTTAATAAAATGTTTGCCTTCTTTCAATTGATGAATTAATTTTCAGATATAATTTGTTTTATGGTTTGCATTTTTCAATCATAAATTTTGTTTCAGGACATTGTTGTACTGTTGGAGAAGCAGTTACGTCCCCTGGTTCAGGCTGAGTTATCTGTCCTTGTAGATGTGTTACATTGTCCGGAGGCTCTGTTTCCTGCTGGCACTAAGTGTGAGATTGGAGGCTTCATATCAAGGTCAGTTATACATCTTAAATATAATCTTTGCCCCTGTTTTATTTTTTACCCTTTCAACCTTGACTTCAAAATGCTGTAAATTCAACAGATGCAGAGTTATCTTTCTTTTAATACAACTGTGCCTGGGTGAATTTAAAATTGGGGGAAATCATTTGCAAGTGTGAAAGGGTGAAAATATCATGAGGCAAAATTAACTGTATACAGTATAGATATAGTGATTAATCTTTGTTTACTCCAACTGCTTCTTGAATTTTAATTCAGTTATATACTAAAAATTAGTGGACAAATTACTGTACAGTTTATGTTGCACTGATAGTTTCTGCAATTTGTTTTGTTGTTAAACATTAAAGAAGTGCATTTTGCTCTAATTTTTTTAAGTCAATAAATTATGAATTTTAGTGTGATATGGAACTTAGCTATTCTTTTCATGATATTTCTGGTTCACTGAAAGTCTGGATTTTTGTTCTAAATTTCACCGTTGTCATGATTTCAGACTAATTCGGCACACCAAGTGTCTGTTGGAGGAGAAAGAGGAGAGTTTATGTATCAAGGTCCTGCAGACTCTTCGTGAAATGATGACCGTAGACAACGAATACGGAGAAAAGGTAATAGTTATCTCCCATTCAGTTTATAACACTGTAATATGTTCCGCTTTGGAGATATTGTGATTGAAATGTAAATAGTTACAAAATGATTTCTAATCTTAATATTAAAGTGCAGCAATCATATTCCAATCAAGTATTTATGTAAAGATTGAAGAGAGAAGATCATTTCATTTGTGTGACCTTTCATTTGGGGAGGGTTACCTATAGAAGCTAGTAGCAAATCTTAAAATTCTGTGTACACCACTCAAACCTGCACCTCCTCTGTTTTGTGTCATTTACCATAAAATTTATCACTGATAAAATATTTATTTTGAATATACATACTTCTTATATAGAATATGCACATTTAGATATTATTTAAGATATTATTTAGTGATGTCTGTAAATTTAATTAATTTGTTAATCAGCTGTAGGTAAAACAAAAGTAACTATGAATATATTCAGACAAACTTGTGAATTTGTAGGAAATGAGCATTCTCTTAGCTATTATTAATTACTGTAAATCACTTTTTTATTTGTGAGAATTTTATTTACAAATATTTACATGAGACAGTCTGCTCGCTAAAATTTCATTCATTTTCGTGTATAATTTTAATAGCATAGGATATGTACAGCAATAACCTATCTCACAAAAATAAGGTGTCGCAAAAGTTTGGTGATGTACAGTTTCATTTCCCTCTGTTGCTTTATTAAGAATCTTTTTGCACTACAAGTAATGAATTTTTTCCTTTGCGGCATTAATAATTGTGTCTTGTTTGCCATTGCTTTCTCATCAGCTGGATAACAAGACAAAAAAGGAATTAGACGATCATCGCAGGGTAAGATGCATGCTTTAAAGGGGCACATTAAGGGGTGGACTGTTATCATTTATATCTAGACTGTGTTCACTGTGTTCTGTAGGACAGTGTACTGTCCGTAAATATTGAGCCTAGCTTAGCTTTAGCCTTACATTTCATTGTAAAAAAAAAAAAAAAAAAAAAAATGGAAACGATGAGTTTCATTTTTTGTTGTTATTCAGACTAAGCAGTTTCTACAATGTCATGTATATACTTAAGATGTCATTTCTTCACAGCTTCGTGTTTATTGACATATAATGTTTAAATATGAAGACTTCCCCCCATGAAACTTTTTAATAAATAGGTAAAAAAAATAAAGGTTTCACTTTTCAACGGTGAAATTATAACAAGAAAGGATTTTTTTTTCATATGAATGATGCTTATTTCCATAGTTTAAGTCAGGAGTGACCATTTTGACTAATATATAAGGTTTAGTGTATTTGTTGAAACATTTTTTTTCTTCCAGAGCAATGCACACTTAATTCAAGTTTATTGAATTCGGGTTTCTCTTTCACCAAATGTGTAGATTTAGATTTTATTACGCTTTTTTTAATACATAGACTTTCTTACTTCAGATTTTAGTGCACTATTATTATATAACTTGCAGTACTGTAATTTTGTATTATCAAATGTAATATGCATTAAATTCAAAGTAGTATACTGTTAACACCAGCTTGGTATTTTTCCTATTATGAAGCTCACTGAGTTTACCTCTTCATTATGGAACATCTAATATAGATTTGTAGTAATGTAAATAACTCATAGAAAAGGATTTTCAACTCCTAAAAATCTATATAGCCATGATATATCACAATGAATTACTTTTCCCTTACTGGTAATGAATTACTAATAATGGCAGTTAAAATCTGAGATTGAAGGAGATTCATTAGTCAAGATGATACTTTGTTATTTAGCTGAATAACCTTCTACAACGTAGTGTTAAATTTGAAGTATTATACAGTGTAAAAGAATGTGTTACCATATGTTTGTAGCTACTGTTATATACTGTACATATGTCCTTTGTAACTGTTAAATGTAGTCAGATTTCTTCTTCCTTCATTCAGCATTTTCTGGATATATTTGAATACATAAACTGTAAGGCCTGATATCATAGCTAAATATAAACCTTTTTTTATAACTTGAGTACATGTACTACCACGGTAGTTTGATATGGAACAGAATTTCTAGAATCTCGGCATGTTCTGTAGTCTAGTACATGTAACACCAGGTGAATTGTGAATGTCTAATGTAAAATTCTAGTTCTCTTGGTCAACTGTAGATTGAGTTGAGTTTATGGTCACAGTGAAAGAATAAGAAATTAATGTAGCATTAGTTCTTAATGATCTCAACAACAAAAATTAAAAATAAAAGACAAGTGATTTATAAACTCAGCTCATCTGTGTAATATTCTCTCTTTTTGTAGAATCTTTTGATTCAGAATTCAGTCTTATGACATCTTTTGATTTCATTTATTCACACTTTCATCCATTTTATGTCATTGAGTGTACTCAGTTTAACATTATAATACGATGGATTTTCTTTACAGGGAGAGGCCTTGAGACAAAGCCTTTTGGCCCAGTACTACGAGAAGGTCCCCCTCCGAGGTCGAGATGGGGTTGGGGGTAGAGGAGGGGGAGATGGAGGGTCCAGGAATATGGCCTTAGGGAGGGAAAGAAAGTCCCTCACAGAAGTTCAGGTAAACAGTGACATGGGTTTGTACTAAAACTTGATGTGACAGAAATTAAAATAGCAGATATTGTCAAGTGGTGTAGGAATTGCCATTAAAAATGACATGTTTTGGAAAATTTTTGGAAATTATTCCCAGCAAACAATTTATGTACCTGGTGCAGTAAATGGGAAAAAAAAATATGTATTTTGGTCTATGAATTATTTTAAGTCAATTCCTTCTTAAAACCATTAGAATTTTCAAAATATAAATTTTGATAACAGGAGATAGATATAAACGTTCCATGTTTGTATGTTAAATGACTCTGTGTTTGTGTATAGTGTGGGCTAGAGAAAGAGGGAGCAGTGGACCTGATAGTGGATCTGATCATCAGAGAAACAAATAACACCAACAACAAAGTATTCCAGGAGACCGTTAAACTGGGGATAGCCCTACTGGAGGGGGGCAACACAGATATACAGGTAAATATAACAATATAGTACACCAACAACAAAGTATTCCAGGAGACCGTTAAACTGGGGATGGCCCTACTGGAGGGGGGCAACACAGATATACAGGTATATATAACAATATAGTACACCAACAACAAAGTATTCCAGGAGACCGTTAAACTGGGGATAGCCCTACTGGAGGGGGGGGGGGGGGGGGCAACACAGATATACAGGTACTGAGTATATACATATAAATAATGGCAATAGTTAAACAAGGGATAATTACAGTTTGTATTGTCTGTACAGATTTTCCTAGACAAAAATGTTTCACTTGGAATGAAAATGCAGTTTTACATGTACTTCTAATATTATTTCCTTTTGGTGTTCCCTATGCATTTCTCCAGCAATTTACAGTGACTGCCATTATCCCTCTGCCACATGATTTAAGGCTATCAAACAACATCGTCATCCAGATATCCCAATCTTTTCCAGAAATCCATCTACAGAAGATTAACCAAAGATAAGAACTCAGAAACTTTCCTGAGAGTGTTCTATAACAGAATGGTGAAGGCTCGGGAGGAAATCAAAGGCATCACTGTCAACACAGTGGAGAGTGAGAAGAATACAGATGAACAGAAGGAAAACAAAGAGGCAGCCATTCAGCGGAGGAACAGAGGGGGTAAGGAGAGAGGCAATAAAAAGGAAGGAAGAACAGGGAGTTGGAGAGGGGCACTAAGAAGAGAGGAGGAATAGAGGGATTAAGGAGAGGGGCAATAAAAAGGAAGGAAGATTGAGGGAGGTGGTAAGGGATGGGGCACTTAAAGTGAAGGAGGAATGGAGGGGGGAAGGAAAGGGGCACTTAAAGTGAAGGAGGAACAGAGGGGGGTTAGAGGGCACTGAAATTGAGGAGGGACAGAAGGAGTAAGGGGAGGACACACTGAAAGTAAAGGGGGAACAGAGGGGGTAAGAGGAGGGGCATTGAAAAGGAAGGAGGAACAGAGGGGGTAAGGGGAGGGGCACTGGACGTAAAGTAGGAACAGAGGGGGTAAGAGGGGCATTGAAAAGGAAGGAGGAACAGAGGGGGTAAGGGGAGGGGCACTGGATGTAAAGTAGGAACAGAGGGGGTAAGGGGAGGGGCACTGGATGTAAAGTAGGAACAGAGGGGATAAGAGTAAGGACACTGAAAAGGAAGGAGGAACAGAAGGGGTAAGGGGAGGGGCACTGGAAAAAATAGGAATGGGGGTAGGGTTTATGGGGAGGGAAACTAACAATAAAGGAGTGAAATGATATAAATTATAGTAGACTGCCCTGTGATATTAATTAGTCAGACAGACCATTGTTATAAGACTGAAGTGTATGGAATGGAATTATTGTACACTCTCAGTTGACCTTTAATATGAATTATAAAAAATAACCAATATAGCCATGCATATGATTGCTAATTGAATTTCTGTATAAGTTTTCATATTTTTTACCCTCTGATTTTTAGCTCACCTGAGCTGAAAGCTCAAGTGAGCTTTTCTGATCACATTTTGTCTGTAGTCCGTCTGTCCGTCTGTCTAGCTGTCTGTCCGTCCGTCCGTCTGTAAACTTTTCACATTTTCGACTTCTTCTCCAGAACCACTGGGCCAATTTCAACCAAACTTGCCACAAAGCATCCTTGGGTGAAGGGGGTTCGAGTTTTTTCAAATGAAGGGCCACGCCCTCTTCCAAGGGGAGATAATTAAGAATTGGTGAAAATTTGGTGTCGTCTTTTAAAAATCTTCTTCTCAAGAACCATTGTGCCAGAAAAGTTGAAACTTATGTGAAACCTTCATTACATAGTGTAGATTCAAGTTTGTTCAAATCATGACCCCCAGGGGTAGGGTGGGGCCACAATGGGGAATCAAAGTTTTACATAGGAATATATAGGAAAAATCTTAAAAAATCTTCTTCTCAAGAACAACAAAGCCACAATTAGTCATATTGATATGGAATCATCCTGAGGTAGTGTAGATTCAAGTTTGTTGAAATCATGATCTCCAGGGGTAGGGTGAGGCCACAATGGGGGATCAGAGTTTTACATAGGAATATATAGGAAAAATCTTGAAAAATCTTTTTCTCAAGAACAACAAAGCCACAATTAGTCATATTTATATGGAATCATCCTCAGGTAGTGTAAATTCAAGTATGTTCAAATCATGACCCCCGGGGTTAGGGTGGGGCCACAATGGGTGATCAAAGTTTTACATAGGAATATATTGGAAAAATCTTTAAAATACTTCTTCTCAAGAACAACAAAGCCACAATTAGTCATATTGATATGGAATCATCCTCAGGTAGTGTTAATTCAAGTTTGTTCAAATCATGACCCCCGGGGTTAGGGTTGGGCCACAATGGGGGATCAAAGTTTCACATAGGAATATATAGGAAAAATCTTGAAAAATGTTCTTCTTAAGAACAACAAAGGCACAATTAGTCATATTGATATGGAATCATCCTCAGGTAGTGTAGATTCAAATTCGTTCAAATCATGACCCCCAGGGGTAGGGTGGGGTCACAATGGGGGGTCAAATTTTTACATAGGAATATATTGGAAAAATCTTGAAAAATCTTCTTCTCAAGAACAACAAAGCCACAATTAGTCATATTGATATGGAATCATCCTCAGGTAGTGTAGATTCAAGTTTGTTCAAATCATGACCCCCGGGGGTATGGTGGGGCCACAATGGGTCATCAAATTTTTACATAGGAATATATAGAAAAAAATCTTTAAAATCTTTTTCTACAGAACAACAAAGCCACAGTTAGTTATATTGAATATGGAATCATCCTTAAGTAGTGCAGATTCATTTTTTTTTCAAATCATGACCCCTGAGGGTAGGGTGAGGCCACAATGGGGGATCAGAGTTTTACATAGGAATATATAGGAAAAATCTTTAAAAATCTTTTCAAGAACAGAAAAGCCATGATTAGTCATATTGATATGGAAGCATCCAGGTATTGTAGATTCAAGTTTGTTCAAGGCATCCTCCAGTAGTAGGGTGGGGCCATAATGGGGGATCAAAGTTTTACAATAGAACATGTATAGGAAATATCTTTAAAAAATCTTCTTCTCAAGAACAACAAAGCCATGATGAGTCATATTGATATGTAAGCATCCTCAGGTAGTATAGATTCAAGTTTGGTGACAGGCGCTCAAAACTTTACATATGAATATATAGGAGGAAAATCTGCTGATGAAGAACAACAGGGCCATATTGACTCAGGTGAGCATTGTGGCCCATGGGCCTCTTTATTTTCTTTATAATCCCCTATGTTTGGAATGTGCTATTTTGAATAGTGTATTAGCATTGTGGCTTTGCATCTATGTTTCAATGCATATTGTTTATCAAGGTTTAAGGCGATTGGATGGTGAAGATGAGCATGGGGGTCTGCTTCGACTTCGTCGTGCAGCCCGTCAGGGTGAGGAGCAGGAAGAGGGGCGTGGGCCTCACCCTGGGAGTGAGGAAGCTGCTCTAGAGAAAGCCAATAAAGAGAAGGAGGAAAAGAAACTGCCCCCTAATGTGGCTCTGATGAAGTACATTCTACGTTTCCTGCAGCTTCTGTGTGAGAACCACAACTCTGATTTACAGGTGAGGTGATATATTGTACAGGTGAGGTGATATATTGTACAGATGAGGTGATATGGTACAGGTGAGATGATATATTGTACAGGTGAACTGATATATTGTACAGGTGAACTGATATATTGTACAGGTGAGCTGATATTCTACAGGGGGAGGGAGGGTTTATTACCTATGAAAAAGAAAATATAATAAGAAAAAAGGAGAAAACAAGATGGTTTGAAAAATGATTGCATAAAGTTACAATTAACTTTAAATTGTAAAGTAAATTTCATGGAAAAGTAAACTAAAGCAGTCAAAGTGCCATTTGAAATAAACCATAGCATCTATCGAGATTGAAAAAATTAGTAATGGCATTGAAAAAATTAGTAATGGCATTGTATTGTGAACAACGGTAACACCAACATATAGTTAGAAAGATAAGGGCATGATTTTTTTTAACCTTTATAGAATTTTTTGAGACACCAAGCAAACCATGCTAAACCCTACAATTTGATTTGTGAGACGCTGCAGTTTCTGGACTCGATCTGTGGCAGTACGACAGGCGGACTGGGACTGCTGGGACTGTACATCAACGAACACAATGTAGACCTCATCATACAGGCTCTTACTAGTCTGACAGAGTACTGTCAGGGACCCTGTCACGAAAACCAGGTATAACACAGGTTATACAAACAAAATATAACACAGCCATGTCAACCAGGTATAACACAGGTTATACAAACAAAATATAACACAGCCATGACAACCAGGTATAACACAGGTTATACAAACAAAATATAACACAGCCATGACAACCAGGTGTAACACAGGTTATACAAACAAAATATAACACAGCCATGACAACCAGGTATAACACAGGTTATACAAACAAAATATAACACAGACATGACAACCAGGTATATCACAGGTTACATGACAACCAGGTATAACACAGGTTATGCAAACAAAATATAACACAGCCATGTTACATGAAAACCAGGTATAACACAGGTTATACAAACAAATTATAACACAGACATGACAACCAGGTATAACACAGGTTATACGAACAAAATATAACACAGCCATGATACATGACAGCCATATATAACACAGGTGTAACACGGATTTAACATATGTTGAATGTTTTGTAAAATAGTGAGTTGCTGGAATAAATGATCTGAATATATTGAATGTTTTGTAGAATGCCATAGCTATGCATGAGAGTAACGGAATAGACATCATTATAGCGCTGCTGTTGAATGAAATCAACCCTCTGGGAAAAAACAAACTGGCTCTAGTACTGGAGCTCAAGGTAGGCGGCAGAAACAAGCAGGGATACAAGGAGTCTGTGAAAGGGATTTATTGTAACAACATTATTCTATTAACTACCACAAGATCATTCTTAATACTGATTTATTGTAACAGCAGAGTTCATAGTTGTGTCCGAGTTTGCTTTTAAGTCACCATCAAATATGTAGTTCATTTGGAAGAGTTTTCTCAACATAAGGTTTCTGTGGTAAAATAAGGAATGTGTTTGGTTTTTTTTTTATAGAAACTTGAACTGGAAATGTCTAAAATCTAATTTTATGTTGTAGAATAACGCCTCCAAGTGTCTATTGGCTATTATGGAGAGTCGACATGACAGTGAGAATGCTGAGAGAATTTTATACAACATGAATCCAAAACAACTGGTAAACTGTACACTGTATTTATTCAGTAATGCCAGTTTTTCTTAACATGCTTTATATAATATACTTACAGCAAATTTAATTTTTATTTGTCCAAGAAATTTGAAAATGAATTTAAATTTACACATATTTTCATTTGTCATTTAAATTTGATTTTTTTAAGCTTTGTATTGTAACACAATAATATACCTCTGTTTAACTATGTATTAACCCAATCTTATGTTGTTTTGTTTGATTCAAAATAATACTGCTTGCTTAATTGTTTAATAACATACACATATCATAGTATATAAAATGAAAACCAAGAATATTATACATTATTAATTGAAGAAATAGTTACATATTATTAGTACACAGTCATATTTGATACCTATCTAAAGAAATGATTCAATCTTTTATGATTTTTAGGAATTCATAGTGTAGTGAATTGGGGTTTAGATCAAATTATGAGTTTTTCTAGACAAAAGTGTAAAAAAAAAAAAAAAAAAAAAAAAAAAAAAATTAAACTGAGTAATCTTACTGAATCTATAGTTAATCTAGATTTCCACCAAGTGAACCCAATCTCTGCTTGGTTGATAAAACTGAATTTTATAGCCATGCATTAAACCTGTGGGCACATTCCAGGCACATTTCTGGATGTCGGTGAATCAGAGTTGGTAAAAATTGTAAAATTTTAAAACAGAGATCTGTCTATTAAAATTTAATTTCAAAACTCCCATTTAGAGTTTAAAAATATAAAATAGATTTCTGTAGAAAAAAAATTATTAGATGTTGTAAGTATCTAGTAACTTTAATTTGGTGGTTAAACAAATATCACTTTTGAATGAGTCTGAGCTAGAAGAACCAGACAAAAATTGTTTTGAAGAATTATGACACAAAATCTGATGAATTTCTAGCCTTAAATTTTTTAAAAATAAGTTGTTGACAAAACAAAGTAAGCTTTTTGTTTCAGTGACCATAACATTTTCTCTGTTTTTTATTGTCATAAATGAATAAGAAAAAATTATAGCTTAATATATAAAGAGAGGGAAGTTGTGTAACTCCTGTGTGACTGTGTGACAGAGTGATGTCCCTTGTTACTCCTGACAGGTGGAGTCATTAGGTGTGGTCTTTAAGCTGGCTACACAGGATGGATCAGTTGTCTCCAAGGTCAACAATAACACCCTGTAGCTCTCTGCATTTTATCTGGCATGGTCCTATGTAGAATTTTATTTTACGTCTCTTTTTTATGGTTTATCATGAAATGCATTGATGTGGTTTTTTGATTTTTGTTGATGATTTATTTTTAATTAACTCTCTTGAGAATTATGGAGTGGTGCCATTCTGTTTTCAGGCATAATTTGAAAAAAAAGTTTATATGTCGGTTTGTAAATCTTGCAGTTGTATCATTACTATATAATAGTATCTGTATTTTGTTTGTACATTGTATCTTTCACTTATTTTTTACATTAAAAAAAAAAAATTACATGTATTTCATTATGCATAATTATTTTTGTCTGTGCCTCATTTTCAAATTGCATTATTTACGACTATTTAGTGTAGTATTTTCATTTCATCACTTTATCTAATACACTTTCATTTAATAGATTCTGAAGTAACATTACCTAATCCGTTATATATAATTATATATCAATTATATTAACAAATAATTACCAATTAAAATCTGTTTTATTTACTTCAACATTGGCAATATTTCCATTCTGCTAACACAATAACTATGGTTTATTTGCCATCATTAACAATCCTGTACTGTTGATGTTTGTCACTACTGAAATGTTGTGTTTAATTACTGACTTCTGATCATTTAGGTTGACATCGCCAAGAATGCGTTCCACCAGGAAGCATCGATTGATGATGATGATGAAGAAGAGGGAAAAGAGGCGTCGCCCAAAGACGTGGGCCACAATATCTATATCCTGGCCACACAGGTAAGAGGGAGGTGTCACATAAAGACATGGGTCACAATATCTATATCCTGGCCACACAGGTAAGAGAGAGGGGTCACATCAAGATGTGGGACACAATATCTATATCCTGGCCACACAGGTAAGAAGGTGTCACCCAAAGACGTGGGCCACAATATCTATATCCTGGCCACACAGGTAAGAGAGAGGTGTCACCCAAAGACGTGGGACACAATATCTATACCCTGGCCACACAGGTAAGAAGGTGTCACCCAAAGACGTGGGCCACTATATCTATATCCTGGCCACACAGGTAAGGAAGAGGCATCGCCCTAAGATATGGGCCACAATATCTATATCCTGGCCACACAGGTAAGGAAGAGGCATTGCCCAAAGATGTGGGCCACAATATCTATATCCTGGCCACACAGGTAAGAGGGAGGTGTCACATAAAGAAATAATAATTGGCTAATGGACACATTTTTGAAATATAATAAATCACGGTACATTTCACATGACCATCAATCAAAGAGACCATGTTTAATTTGTATGTTTTCTTTATTGGTAGTTGTCCTTACACAGTGAGAGGTTGGCCCATCTGTTGAAGCCTAGTGGTGACTTATGGGGAGACCAGGCTTTGGAGTTCTATGAGAAACACACAGCTCAGATAGAGGTACACAAATCAAATCTACAGTATCATTGAGTTACCTGCAGTGACTACAATTTCATCCCTTAAATTTTTCATACAAATGATTGTTTTAAGGTCAAGATCTAGTAAATGAAAGGTGCCTACACATTTTTCAAATTTGAGGGGCGAGTTCTTTTAATGATCCTTTATAGCTTAGTAAAATAAGGTGTATCGGGACATAATTTTTAGGTAAACTCACCGAAAAAACAATTTAAACTGTCATTTTCAATGAAAAATGAAGAAAGTCAGGTATACATTTCAGAGTTTTTTCCATCTCAGAAAAAGGAAATGTATCAATATTGCCCACAGTCTCTCAGAAAACAGTTTTTCGTATCTTCTTGACCTCTACTTTAAAATGATATTTAATTGAATATAGGTATCGGGGTTACTTTTGAAATGATTTCAAATTGAATTCCATGAAAATGCTTCATTTTCTACATAATTCTATTACAGCCATGAAGTACGGGAAAAATTAAGTTTAAATTAACTATGACGTCATAATGGATCTAGCTTCAGAAAGACAGTCTAAACTCATTTACACATGTTACTAGATCTTTACCTTAAGTAAATTATAAGAATGTTCATTTTGAAATTTAAATGTATTGGTAAGAGAATATATCAAAGTTGAATTTCTGAACAGATTGTGAGACAGGACAGATCTATGGAGAGAATCGTGTTTCCGATTCCCGAGATCTGTGAGTATCTCACGGAGGAGACAAAGACTCGTATTTACTACACCACCGAGCGAGACGAGCAGGGCAGTAAAGTGGCCGACTTCTTTGAGAAAGTGGAGGATATGTTTGCTGAGATGAGGTGGCAGAAAAAACTGAGGGGTGGGTCATGTTATAATTGTCAAGTAATTTATATTGAGAATGTAATCATAAAATCCAAAAACTCATCTCATTTCTTACAGTATATTATCTAAATAAAGAGCATTAGATTTGTGAAAAGGATGAAATTTTCTTCTGTTGAATACATCATATTTCCATTGTATTTATGTCCATTTTTTTCTTTCCACTACATTTTTGTAATTTGAAGCCATTATTATTGAATTGTAAAGACCTTTCTATGATTAAGTTCAATGCTCACCACAGAATTTTCGAAGTAATTATTGTTGAATTGTAAGAGGTAATGACCTCTTCTATGTTAATTAAGGTCAAGGTCACTGCAATACAGTTTAGCCAGTGTTCTTCTACATGCGTTTTCATGTACATGTAGACATTTGGAACAGTTACTGCTCTTTGTATTGTTATTCACATGTACATGTTATTTTGAATTCATTAAAGTTTGCAGTCAGTGTACAACTTTTGTTTTCATGGCCTTTACCTGTCTTAATTCAGAGGTCAAATGTATAATTTATCAAACCCTTATCTGAACAAATTTTGTTGTATTGTTCTGTTAATTTTTGTTTAGCTTACCCTTAACTGTCCTAATTTAGCACGTCTTTTCTTTATTTAGCTAACCCCTACCTGTCGTGGTTCAGTAGTCACATGTCGTTATGGAGCAGCATCACCTTCCAGTTTGCTGTGCTCCTCAACTTCTTAGTGGCGTTCTTCTACCCATTTACAGAGGTCAAGAAAGGTACGTACTAGAGAGGTCTGAATAATTCAGCTTCAGAATTGGAAAACAGAAAATTTTAGTGATACTTAAATTACTGTTGTGATTATTCTGTAACAGATGAAAATTTGCAATGAATGTCATTTATACTGAAACAGGAATTTCTAAGTTATTAAGTCTGCAATTATTTTCCCTGAGAGAAGTGATTAATTCATTTTCCATGAATTAAAAAAGTTAATGGAAGTATGAAGAATTACATGTGTTGAAGTCTTAACAATTTTCTTTCACATAATTCTGCAGAACTGGACCCTAAGCTTTCTGGTTTGATCTGGACAGCCATGTTTGGTTCCCTGGCTCTGGTGACTATGGTGGGGGTCAATCCAGCAGCAATTAGGACATTTTTTATTTCCACAATTTTCCGGTTTATTTTCTCTGTGGGGCTGGACACTACACTGTGGTTATTAGGCGCTATTAATGTAAGTATTTATCTGATGATGTCTGGCATGAAGTTATCTTAAAGTTTATAATTTGTAATATAACCTTCTGTGTTTCAAATGGCAGATGTTAACCTAACTTTTTGAAATATTGGATGAGAGTGAGGAAAAGGTTTGAAATAGATATTTTCTTAAATTGTTCATGATTTAAGCATTTCAGACTTGAGACATAAATTCATGCATCTTAAGACAATTTCTTGTGTAAATAAATCACCACCATTATTTTTGATAGTAAATAAAGGTATATGATTTTTTTTAACAGGTGATAAACAAAGGTATATTTTTGATAAGTATGATGGGAAATCAAGGGACGTTCACAAAGCTCCCCCGACAGGTGCTAACAGACTTCAGATTCATGTACCACATCATCTATTTAGTGTTTTGTATCTTAGGACTGTGTGTTCACGAATTCTTCTATAGTATATTGGTAAGGCCTAAATATCAAAAGGAAACTGATATATATATATATATATATAAGTATATATATATACAATAAGTCATTGAAATTTATCATAACTCCCATAACGAATATATAGTTAATTTAGAAAAGAGTAATATATATCAGAAAATCAAAATATACTGTATTTATGTAGTAGTATTAGAAGAATTTGAATTTTTTTACTCTTTTGTAAATATATGGAACATGCAACGTTAATAAGGTGATTTTCTCTTATGTGCAGTTTGCAGCACAATACACTACTGACTTGTGGCTCAGAGTTTTTTTTTTGAAGACTGTATTGTATAGTTACAGTTTGTATTTGTATACTGTTATAGTTACTGGATGTGATCAACAGAGAGGAGACATTATGGAATGTGATTAAATCAGTGACTAAGAATGGCCGCTCTATCATCCTGACAGCAGTACTGGCAGTCATCATTATCTATTTGTTCTCCATCATTGGCTACATTTGTTTCCAGGACGACTTCCTGTTGGAGGTCGACCCCATACCACAACTGATAGGGGAAGGTATCAAAAGTTTAAAATTTGTAAAATTCATGTCTGTTTTCTCTATATCCAACACAGGTTTTACAGTCACAATTCAGGCATACATTTACATTTATAAAGTCTAGGAATAGTGTCTTACATTTTGAATTCTTATTAAATGGAATTTTTAGTGAGTAATTTTCCTGTAATGAATGAACAAAAGCACCCATGTTTATCTCTATCACCTCTTTATGTTTTGTTGTTTTTAGCAGTGAATGATACAGATAATGGTACATGTGAGAGTCAGAACTGTAGTGCTGTAACAGAAGGTGTCAGATCAACCCAGGATGTGTCAGGTGGGTGTCAGGATGTCAAATAAATACTCAAACAAAATTTTTGCACCGCTCACGTAGATTGACAAGACACCCTTTGAAAATTGTTTCCATTATAGCATGTAGAAGAAAAAATTATCATCATTCCTATATTTTTTGGCAGCTGACACAACAGAGGATGGTAAACAGAGGGTTTGTGACTCCCTGATTATGTGTATCCTGACCTCCCTCAACCATGGCCTCAGGAACGGCGGGGGGATCGGTGACCTGCTCAGAAAACCAGACATCAGGGTATTTATACACATAGAAATTCTATCCTCACATGATGTTAAGTACTGCTAATAAAATGTACTGACAAATAAAAATTAAATAACTTCTGACTATATTGTAGGAGAACCTGTTTGTGGCCCGAGTCGTGTATGATCTTCTCTTCTTCTTCATCGTTATCATTATCGTCCTTAACCTCATTTTTGGTGTCATCATCGACACGTTTGCTGATCTCAGGAGTGAAAAGCAGCAAAAAGATGAAATTCTCAAAAATACTTGTTTTGTTTGTGGTAAGTTTTCAGTTTAATTTTAGTTCTTATGCAAATATACATGTACATGTATATTGTAATTTCATTTCAAACATACTGGAAGTTTTCAAGTTTTGCAATTGATGATAAAATTCTTTAATATTAAAACCATTAACTAGTATATTTATTTAGCATTCTAAACATGGATAAAAAAAAGTAAGTTCTACTGGTTTTTTTTTTTTTTTTTTCAGGACTAAATCGAAGTAATTTTGACAATAAATCGGTTTCTTTTGATGAACACAAATCAAAGGAACACAATATGTGGCATTACCTAAACTTTATTGTCCTTGTCAAGGTCAAGGATCATACAGAATTTACTGGACCAGAGAGCTACGTGTACCAGATGGTCAAGGTAGTCTCTCATTATGTATCAGATGGTCCATGGATCTTTAGTGCTTACAATTGAATTTCTTCAGAAACTAAATGAATCGATTTTATGGCAACTTGATGTTAATTTAAATCTTGAATATGCTGTAAACATATTACATTTGGCTGTGTATCCTTTTAAGCACCTTTGATAAAAGGACAACTTCTGCTAATTCAAGTACAAAGCTTAATGTCTTGCAAATATATGCACACAAAAATGAGAAAGCTAAGAAATGCACTTAATTTAATCTACAGTAATGTTCAAAAATACATTTCCGTCATTTATAGTACTTGCTAAATATAATAGATTTACTGGATCATCTGTTCATAATAATTTTCATTGAGAAGACATAATGCGTTAGTATTTTTGATTGGCTTTGTAGGAGAAAAATTTGGACTGGTTCCCCAGAATGCGAGCGATGTCTCTGACGGCGGAAGACAGCGAGGGAGAACAAAGTGATTACCGAAATCTACAGGCTCAGCTCGACGCTACAAATCGACTGGTCAAGAACCTGTCTAAACAGCTCACCGACTTAAAGGAACAGGTTAGTGATCAATATGATACAAACCAACTGGCCAAGAACTAAACAGCTTGACTGACTTATCGCTAATCTTGCTTGAAAGTATACACTACGACGGAAATAGTGATGCGTTGAGTGACAACACTGTTGGATCTGCCTGAAATGCAATTGAATCTGACTGACATACCATTGCGAAATCCAACAAAGAATCTGATTGGTGCATTTTTTCTAGGTCCGCCTACATTCTCAAATGTATTGCCGAAAATGTGGAATGTTTCCAAGAAAGATAGAAAAACGGGCAAAAAAGCTGAAGTATTTTCTTTTTGGTGAATAAGTGGGACGATGCAATACCTTATTAAAAGATTGTGAGTGTTGGTAATCCGTAAAATAAAATCTCTGAAGGACTGGCAGGAGTTGACTTCATATATCTGTACATGTACACCGGGGCATATTTCTGCGATTGAAAAACACGGCCGTTTTTCCCTCGTTTTCTTCTTCAGTACATCAATAGAATTAAACGTACTAATATATAGGTCCCTGGATTCGGTGGATATATATTTTTGATTATTTATTTTTAACATGTAAGTATATATGATATTTATTATTTTATAATGAATACATAAATAATGTTCGCCATTACAGTAAAAATTGCACTGAAAAAACACAAGTATTTCGAGTTTTCTAGCGCTTGTTTATTGCCATGACGGCCGTTAAAATGGGTATGCAGTAGCACACGCACATTTGAAACATGGTATTTTCGACAGTTGTGGCAATAAAACAGTAACATTTTGAATAATTCCGATGTTTCACGTGTGTTTTACCAGCTATGAATACACTTTTTCAATAACAAATGCTCCGGTATCAGTTGGGTATGCTAAATACAATAATACCCGAATTTTCAATTTGCTTGGTTTTGCATACACAATATGTAAAGCTCACTTGTTCACAATCACTAGGGACTGAAACATAGAGAAAAAGATTTTTAGTGCGCCGAAAAGTGTCACAGACTATTCAATTTTAACGAACGCCGAAAATGGAAAATGTCGTCAATTTATTGCAGAGGAAATCGGCAGATACTTGTAGGATAAAACAGTTTTTGTCATTGAACAATACATGTACCGTATGTGAAAGGAATGTCACATGCTGAAATATGATTTTCTGGTTTGTTTCTTTTTTTTTTTTTAGTTCAAAAGTCAACATCAGTTTTTGACCATCAAACATGGCTATTGGCTAGACCGTTGGACGCTTTCCAACTATATGTAGGCAAAGGATACCCACGAGAGTGGGCGGGTCCTAATCAACCAATTAAAACGCATGTTTTATAAAATGTAACTGGTGATTCAAATTGTTCAATTGTCAAATCAAATAGCGTCATCACTCAACGCAACGCAATTTCGGTCGAAGTGTAAACTTTCAAGCGAGATTTGCGATAAAGGAACAGGTTAGTGATCAGTATGATACAAACCAACTGGTCAAGACCCTTTCTAAGCAGATGATTGACTTAAAGGATCAGGTTATTGGTCAATGTTACAGACTGGTCAAAAATTCTATCTAAACAACTGACTGACGTAAAGGAACAGGTAAGTGGTCAAAATGATACACATCGACTGGTCAAGAACCTATCTAAACAGGTGACTTTGATCACCTATTGTGGCCCCACTGTACAGCCAAATGCCATGATTTGAAGAAACTTGAACCTATACTTCCTTAGGATGTTTCCATATAAAATGACTAATATATTCATAGCTTTGCTGTTCTTGAAAATTCTTGAGATGATTTTTTAAAGATATTTCCAATATATTCCCATGTAAAACTTTGCCCATTGTGGCCCCATCTTATTCCCTGGGGTCATGATTTGAACAAACTTCAATCTTCACTATTTAATGAAGATTTCACATAATTTTCATCTGTCATCTATCTGAGGATGCTTCCTTATAAATATCACTACTCATGACCTTGCTGTTCTTGAGCATGAGATTTTTTAAAAGATTTTTGCTATAAATTCCTATGTAAAACATTTTTTGCCTATATTTTTTAGCCTCTCCCTAGCCCCAGTAGTAATGATTTAAGCAAACTTGAATCTACACTGTATACTGAAGATTTCACATAAGTTTCATCTTTTCTGGCCCAACTTGTTTATTGAGAAGATTTTTAAAAGATGCCATTAAATTTTCAATTATTCTTAATTATCTCCCCTTGAAAAAGGAGTGGCCCTTCAATTGAAGAAACTTGAATCCCTTTCACCTAAGGATGATTTGTGTAAAGTTTGGCTGATATTGGCTTAATGGTTCTCAAGAAGAAGTCGAAAATGGAAAAGTTTACAGATGAAACACATCAGATGACGGATGTCGGCAACTCTTCTATTACATGTAGAAAAGCTCACTTGAGCCTTTTGGATCAGATGAGCTAAAAAAGAGTTACCTATTTATACTTGTACATGATTTATAAAACATCATTAAACTGTATTTTGTAGATATCACTACTCGTGACCTTGCTGTTCTTGAGAAAGAGATTTTTTAAAGATTTTTGCTATAAATTCCTATGTAAAACATTTTTCGCCTATATTTTTTAGCCTCTCCCTAGCCCCAGGAGTAATGATTTAAGCAGACTTGAATCTACACTGTATACTGAAGATTTCACATAAGTTTCATCTTTTCTGGCCCAACTTGTTTATTGAGAAGATTTTTAAAAGATGATTTATAAAACATCATTAAACTGTATTTTGTAGATGACAGAACAGATTAAACAGAAGAAAAGAACAAAGTTTTTGACATCTGCTACATTGAACATGTAGAACTTGACTCATGGTGCTTTTGAATTGATTTCACAACTGCCACATCGAACATAGAGAACTTGCCACTCGGTGCTTTGAGTAGCAACTCTTAAGCATATCAAGAGATCTGAATTCAGAAACCACCACCATTATAGACCCTTGTCATTTCATGTTAGATGTAACCATTTCATTCGTGAATTTAGTGAACATTTTGTAATTGTAAATTGGTAATATTTGTTATATTTATAATCAAACAGAGACTTTCACTTTGTTTTAACATTGTTAAAATTTTTCAGATTAAGAAGAAGTGATTACATTGTATATCGTGTGATGAAATATTTTTTGGATATTTACAATGAAAGCTTGACCATGTTGACTGTAGTAATGAATTCTTAGATTTATTGAAATTTGCCAAAAAATGCATGTAGTGCAATGAAACAGAGAAATGGCAGCTTTTTGACAGCAGCATGCAGGCCTTTTATATTTACTAACTAGGTAATTCTTCTAAGAAAACCAGCAACTTATGAATAATAATTCAAAGTGTAGCATATATTTTAGATCTCTCTTTAATTTTACAGTGTAAAGTACGTTGGGTATTTTAAAAACTCATAAAAATGTCCTTTTGTCCATTCCATTAACAGATTCTTTTTATTGTAAGGCATATAACACATACTATTAGACTAATTTGATATGCATTAAAAATCATCACAAATCTAATGCTGGTAGACATGCATGTTATCAATGATCATAATTTGAGGTAACGTGTACAGCATTGTTATAGAAATCTTTGTTCCTGACAAATTCCTTAGATCACCTCTCAGATATTTATTTATATGCAATAGGATGTAAGAAATATAGGGACCTGGTCAGATCCAGATCTAAAGCCATTAATTATCAATAATTATCAATGATATTTGCATGATTTAGTTAACATACACATAAAACCTTTATGTTCGCCAAAAGTTTGCTCTCAATGAATTTTCCTTTAAATCCTATAAATGCTGACATACGCATATTTCTAATGCCAGTTACATAAAGAGTAGAAACAGAATTTTACTTAGTTTATAAGACTCTTGTATAAGAATGAAAGTCACTTAACATAATTAGACATATAGTGTGTTTCTTGTATAATTAAGAATTATACATTTATGTGACACTTACACAAGTTATTCTTTCTATATAATATATACATGTAGAATTAAAACATAGGCTAAGCTGCCGTGGTTCTATTTAGTATTCCAATGTTTAATAAGGCATTTATGTACATGTACTTATTTGTAATTTCTGATGAATTATATAAACATTTTTGTGTGCCTACATTTGATTTTGTTAACAAATGAAATAGACTTTCCTTAACACAGTGTGTAAGGCAAATGAAGTGCTTAAGAAACAAACTGTAAGTAATCTGTGATAGCTGAGGTTATAAGAATATAAGTCTATATACATTTATATTTAAATATTTATGACTATTATATAATGAAGTCTGTGTACATTTCTGTATTGTCATGTGATTAAGGATTTTTTTCAAAGATTTATTGTAACTGTTAATCTATGAGTTAAAAAGGATTTTGTTGTAATTTTGTTCTGAAGAATGTTTTGTAATTAACTTAATACAAATTTAAGAGTTTTAAATTATGTTTGTCCTAAAAAAAAAAATATCCACATATTTCTTTTAAATTAGTATGATGGAACTTAGAACTTCATGCATTTAGGTGTTTCTTCTGATGAAGATAAACAAAGAAATGGCATTTCATGTACAGAACGTATTTTGATTTGAATACGGTATGTGTACTTAAAAAAGCGGGCTTCATATTTTAGCGGCTTTGATGCAGAGAACAATGCTGTAATTCATGAATCCGCTAAGAAATCATGTATAAATACAATATACAGCACGGATGTGTATAATGCTAATTCATGATTTCTCCAACAACTCCATACCCAGTGATTGCGCTAAATTTTGAATATGCCAGTTTATGTACACATACAGTAACTGATTTAACCAATTTAAATGCAGAACTTGATATTATTTGATGTTAATACTTTCAGTGTATGATTCTAGATTGTTTAGAATTCAAAAAGTATTTTTGCCTTATAATTTGGATTTCAAAAACAGGCACTTGCTATTTGGCTTTTAAAATTGATTGGATTAGATATAATAATTGAACATTTATGTTAATATGTTAATTTACATAGTAATTTCTCCTCTGTTTCATATTTCCTGCCCCCCCCCCCCCCCCCCCCCAACTATAAATGTGAGTGTATTGTTAGATCTGGTTGAAGTATCTCAAATGTCATGGTTTTCGTTTTGTCAGAAAACACCATTAAATGCATTTCCACCTTTGTTACGTGTTTCTTTATTATTATATATATATAGTTGTACAAAAAAATGTAAATTGAAGCTGCATTAAGACTATATGGACTGTTGATAGCTCAGAGGTTAAAGCACCTTACTAGTAAAGCAGGGGCCATAGCAAAAATAATTGTAACAAAAAAAAAAAAAAAAAAATAAAATAACCAAACTGAGGAAAGTGGATCTTATGTTCTCCTTCGTTTCACTCATCTGAACATAAAATATTTCTATTCTAAGTATTTTAGAGAATAAACAACAGAACACAGACATAAAATATGTGTTGAGCGCCTATCAATCAGTTCTACAAGAAAGGTTTTGAATATGTTAACCAGCAAAAGAAGTTAAAGTCTATCTGGAATACTGTTGGTAGCTGCTGCAGTTGCTGTGTAAATCGTACTCACCGACACTTGTAAGAGCGTCTGAAAGAAGCTCTCTAGAACACGTCTAACTTTTATTTGATTTACATAACTTGAAAACGCCTTTTTATGCCCCGCCATGAATATGGCCGGGGCATATAGTGTTTGTCATGTCCGTCTTCCGTCCTTCTGTCCTTCCGTCTGTCCTTCCGTCACACTTTGCGTTTAGCTCTGTTCAAAGCTCAGTTTCAGAGAAACTATCCAAGATGTTTTTATCAAACTTCATATGCTGATAGATATTGATGAGGGCTATGCAACTGCATCAACATTTTTTGACCTTGACCTTTCTTTTGACCTTGACCTCACTTTTCTTAAATTAGTGTTTAGCTCAGTTTTAAAGATACCATTTAAGAAAGTGTAATCAAACTTCATATGTTGATACATACTGATGTAAGCTATTCAACTGCATCAACATTTTTTGACCTTGACCTTTCCTTTTGACCTTGACCTCACTTTTCTTAAATTAGTGTTTACCTCAGTTTTAATGAAACCAAGATATTTTTAACAAACTTCATATGCTGATACATACTGATGAGAGCTATTCAACTGCATCAATATTTTTTACCTTGACCTTTCCCTTGACCTTGACCCCACTTTTCTTAAATAAGTTTTTAGCTCAGTTTTAAAGAAACCATTCAAGATAGTGTTATCAAACTTCATATGCTGATACATACTGATGAGAGCTATTCAACTGCATCAACATTTTTTGACCTTGACCTTTCCTTTGACCTTGACCTCACTTTTGTTAAATTAGTGTTAAACTCAATTTTAAAGAAACCATTCAAAATATTTTTATTAAACTTCATATGGTAAAACATACTGATGTAACCTTTTCAACTGCATCAATATTTTTTGACCTTGACCTTTCCTTTGACTGACCTCACTTTTCTTAAATTAGTGTCAAACGTCATATGCTGATACATACTGATGTAAGCTATTCAACTGCATCAATATTTTTTCACCTTGACCTTTCCTTTGACCTTGACCTCACTTTTCTCAATTTGTGTTAAAATGTTGCATTACTAATATATCCTCGGCGGGGAATTCATGTCCTATGGACATATTTCTAGTTTTAAAAGGTTACGGCTCTGAAAATAAACTCATTAAACTGAAAAGCAAGACCAGCAGATGATATATATATTTTTCAGATAAGAAACTGGACAAAGCTTATTACTTGTTCTCGATATAGCAACGATATTACCTTGAACGGCCCTGTATTCCTGCATTGAGTACAAGTGAGGTTATACTGAGTTTTAGGTTGACCATGGTGAAACATAAGGCACTTCAGGCCAGCGCAATAAATCACACGAGGCAAAGCTTTATTGTTTTCAAGGGGTGCAATGATTGGTTTCACGCTTAATTTTATATGATACAAATAGAAATAAAAATATATTTACCTCTATTAAAATGCATGTGAGCGTAATTTCTTTGGATAAGGTACAATGTTTTTTTAAAAAATGCTATATGTGTATCGCAAGAAAAAGTCAATTGATGGCCTTTTTATTTTAGTTTTTCTCCCCAATAGTGTGTACATGTACTTACATGTATAATAAACATGTGTTCTATATAGCCGATTACCGTTAAAATTTGAATATGGGCAACAAATGGGTATGATGCAGTAATGGTTTATTTTTCCTTTGATAATTACTAGCATCTCGATAGCCAAGTTACTTATTAAGATAAGACCGAGTAAAATCTTTGGAAATCAATTGACGCCTGACTAGTTTAAGTAGGCGCTTTTAATCTTCTTGGCTGCTTTAAGAGTAAGCGGCTGTGAAATAAAGTCAAAAGGAACGCTTAGGGTTTAACCCATCTTCTTGCAGAACAATTGTTCACTATTTTTTTTAAATACAAATATTGCTCAGTGGCTATAGTTTTTCTACAAATATTTTACTGAAAATATTAAATATGGATAAAGGATATTTTCACACAGGTTAATGATACAGGCACATAAAATCAGGAGGACCGCCCCTCCCACTTTTTTTCCAAGCATAACTTTTTTAGATGAAAATGTTCATTGTAAAGCTGCCTCCTTTCAACTTTCTGTTGTAGCATAGTCAACTCGTCCCATGGAAATGTATTAGGAAAAAAAATGTGTTTTAATCCCCTCCACGAAATAGGATTTTTGAGTTTGGACACCCCTTTTTCCCTTGTCAAAGATTGTTCTTGTAAGCTGTCAATTTTTTTTCTGGCCGCCCCACCCTCTTTATACCAAAAAAACCCCCCACATCCTACTACTGTAAAAGCTGAGAAAAAAAATACATCCCATTGTTTATTCTGTGACATCAATAAAGCCAAAGAAGTGACAATTCAGGCTTTCTGGAAAGCCAAACTTGGTGTGTCAATAAATCTTATTTCCGGTTGATGATGTTTTCCTTTGTTAATAATGATAATAATAATTGTGGTGATCGTATCAAAAGCATCCCAAAATACACAACAGTAAGAGTTTGGTGCGTGCATGTATATAAAAATATAACTCAATATCTTATTGATCTGTATAATAATCCCTTCAGTTTATGTATTTATATACACTCACTTTGTTGTTCCACCAAGACCCAACCCATAGAAGATGAGTAACGTCATCATAACTCAAGCTCCTTGGTCGCTTTAAACCATGTTTTTCTGTTGCTATCATTCGAAGGAAGCGGCCATTCTTGCCAATCATCTGTATATTGTCATTTTTATGATCACACACCAGGATGTTTGACAGCTCGTCCGTACAGATTCCACGTGGCCATAGTACTCGTCCAGGTCCTGTGTACGTGAAGCGATGATTTCCTCTACGCCCTGTCACCACTAAAGCTTGCTGACCAGAGTCAGACACAATAACATCACCATTCCGGTTCTCTGTGATGCATTGAGGTGAATCATAGAGTCTTTCACCTTTTTTGTGTTGTATTGTCTGTATGTGTTGTCCTGTGTAGTTGTAGCGATTTACCTTGCCTTTATCTGTATCTGTGCTATACATCCCCACCAGTAGATCTCCGTTTGAAAGAGAGTAAAAGACACACTGTGGAAGCCATATGAATTCGACTGCCTTACCATTATTAATAGTCTTTCTTTTGTTATCCGAAAATAGTATATTAATGTTAAAAGCAGTGTCTATGTAAACAAGAGCACCATTTTAATGTTCACCGTATGTTTTCCCCTTCCACAGGAATTATCGACTTCTGTCAGATAATGTAACACGTCTCCTGTTGCGGTGTTTGTCAAGATAAGATTGTTATTGTAATAGTCCTTAACCCAGACCTTGTCTAATGTCAAAAGTGACATGTACGTGTTCTACCCCTCGAACACCCGTCACGAAGCCAGATTTTTGCAAGACGGGTGAAGGCATCAATTTGAGCAGACAATCATTTCTTACATGTCTTTTCCCGGTCTCTGTGATCTGGATTTCACTCAGCAACTTGATTACATCTTCAATGTTGATTTCCTCGGTCCGTTAGAGGAGGGCGTTTTGTGTAATATTAGCAGTGTTCTTTATCAGCAAAGCACGTGTTCTCTTAAGGAATATGAGGAATTTTATTAGTCGGAATGCTTTTTGTTCAGATCTGTGCTCAAAAGTCTCTATGCTGGCAAGGTATCTATCCAAAGTTCTTTTCTGTTGTTTTAACATATGAGTAAAACTACTTTTTTGACTGCATACAGCATCATCTATAGCAATGATGCTAAGGTTTTTAAGTCTTTCAGCTTTTGTAAATATCTCTGATTGACAGTAAGATATTTCTGTGTGATAAATTTTTATATCGGTTTTCGTTCCTTCCATGATAAAATTACTGTTAAAGAGCCTTTCGCTTCTGATATGATGGTATATTTCTCTATATTGTAAGATCAAATGCTGTTTTTATGTTAAGCACTTTGTGCTTTCTGTGTTCTGTACACTGAAGACAGATAGGAAGTCTACATGAATAACGGTACATTGTGTACACCTTGCTTGGATGTCTCACACAGACCTCCTGTTTCTGAATGTATATATCTCTTTCTCGGTAAATTACAACATCATGGTATATATTTAGATCAATATCATGTTTTTTACACAATAGACACAGGACATGTTTACCCGTGTTACAGTAAAACTTTGTGTCCCTATAACATTGTAAACACTGTCTTACTTTACACTGCTGAATCCTAGCGGGTCCATGATGTGCATATTTTGTAAGAACAGGAGCTGCTGAAATTTATAATACTATAAATCATTCGCAGTTCTATTGCGAAATAATAAAAGCACGTACCTTTTGAAAAAATGGTAACCTAACTCTACTTACATAAATTTTTGATGAACATGAGAAATTTTCTATCGTTATTTTGCCTTATTTATGTAGCAATATACACTTATCACCAACATATGGGGTTTATGTCTTTCATTTAATAATATATGCAAGGGTTTGCTATACATACGAACAATTTCTAAAATAATTTAAGGCAAGCTATGGACAAACAAATAAGCAGATAAAACAAGAACATCAACAGTCTCGTTTAAAGTCATCAATTCACACATTCTATGGTCAATACAATGACCTTAATTGTCAGCAAATACAATCTGTCATTAAATCGAATGCTGACTGGTTTTTCATA